CTTTAGATGTGAGCGGAGGGCCCCGCTCCTGCTACTCCTGGAGAATTAAATAGATAAATGGGCGGCGCTGTTGTTCACGCTTCACTATGCACAAAGCAACTTGCATTCAAAATTGGGCTCATGGCAGTTCAGCAACAACCTCGCACAAAAGCGTCATTAGACACGCAGGGCCGGCTCGCAGGCGCAGAGGCTGCTCTGCAGCTGGAGTAGCCACCGGGCTGGCGTGACGTGGGCTTTTATTTTAGCTTCATAAAAATGCAATTTTTAAAATTTAAAGGAAAAAAAAATGTAGAGAAAGAAGATGCGGTGTCTTTTTTCCGTGAGACTTGGGAAGGCGCCGCTCTTGGAAGGCAGGTGGGAGAGAGGAGACGATGGGATTTGTGGTGTCCATACGCCCCCCATCTTTTGTGCTGGCTCTTTCTTGCAGGAGAATCCTCCATTTCCAGAGTGTGGAAGGGACAAATGAGGGACCTGTGTCTGCAGAGCCTTCACCTGCTGACTTCTTTGAAAATATTCCCTGGCTGGTTACTAACTTAATGGTGAAGGTCTCCCAAGCCAAGAGGGAATGGAAAATTTAATCCCTCTGCTTACCTTGGCACTGGTGGCTCACAGGGTAAACATTTGGAAAGGAGTTAGGTGCTCAGTAAATCTCACAGATTGTGAAGGTTGGTTCTGCTGGAGCTCTCAGCCTGATTTGAGGGTGGTTCAAGTTTGGGTTTAATTGACATGGTGGTCGTGTTTTAGAAACAACCCTGACTTCTGGTCACCTGAGGGGAAATTCAATTTTTTTAGTAAATAGGGAAATTCAGTATGAATATCAACAGCTGTCACCATCACTGGGGTGAAGCCAATCTTGGAAGGGGTCTACTTGCCCGTGGCTTGTTCTCTTGCACTGGGCAAATCACTTGCCTCCCAGATTTTCACTTTCCTCAGTTGTAAAGGAGCTAACAAAGCCTGCCCTTGGCAGGGGCATCTGGAGGCCCAGGTACTGGAGACACATCTCATAAAGCTCTTCTTCCTTATACTGTGTTAACTTTGAGGCATTTTAAGGTTTGAATTAAACAGGTTGGTGGCAGAAACGTGAAGAAAGGGTCTTCACTTGAGGGCTGCTGTTTGTGGACTGTGTGTCATCCATGGTGGTGAGGATGGTCGGCTGTCCCCAGCATCCTTCTGTGTCAGAACCAACCTGGGTCTCTGTTTCCCCATAAGTAATTTAAAATCAAAAGGCAACATGATAGCAGAACTAACTGGGCTTCCCAAAAGCTCTCCTAACACCATGCTTGCAACTGAACCTTTCAAGTCTTCTCCTCTCCTTGTGCCTGCACAATGTTTGTGTTTTAATGATTCTAAAGGCCTGGGATTTGCTTTGACATACCAAGTTAATGTTTTCTTTTTCTATATCAAATCTGGGTCAATCTCTGGCTTAACACTGATGCTGTATGAGCAAAAAAGGATTGGCCACTAATGGTTTCAATTTAGTTTTTTATGGAGTAGAGAAAATTTCACTCAATACTTATTTTCATTTTTATTCAGTTGGCCTTTCCACAGGGTCTGTTGGGATGGAGAGAGTGTTTGTGCTTTGATTAGAGCAGACCCCAGAATGAAACCTCTGTGAATATGGATGAGCATAAGAGCTCACCTGCACTGCATCCATAGGATGTGTCATCAGGGACTGCGTCCCAGTGGGGTTTAGGTGGTGGATGATCCTAAGCATGGGGTTCTCTTCAGGGAAGAGACTCACCTCTGACCAAATCTCCTCCTAGCTGAGGATCCTATAACATGAGGGAAGAAGGGATGAAGAGTAACTCCTCTACCTCATGTGTCAGTGTGACTGTAGACAGCTCAATCTGAACCTAGCCTTGGCCAACATCTTTTGGGAGGAGGCTCTCCCATGCCTGCAGTATAGGAAGACTGCCAGGACCATTCCTCATCTGCTGTGAGCCCTTGTTTTTTCTCCCTGCCCTGTGCCAATCTCTGTGTACCATGGCCATATCCAGGAGAGGTGGAAGCAAAAGCACCAAGACAGCACGGCTTGGAGTGTCAGTGTGGAGCAGTGAGTGTGCTTGTGATTTATGTTGCTTTTATGGCTTGATGACACCTGGAGATGGCAGAGGGAAGTTTGATGGGAACAGGGTGGCATTCACCCCCTCTGATGATGGTGAAAAGGGCCTGGGGCAGCACCAGTCCTGCCATTGGCACGTGGATGCTGTCTTGCCGGATAGCGGAGACCGCGGGCAGATGGATTAGAGAGAGCCTCCCCTCTTAGGAGCTCGCGGGTGAACATTGTGATTGCATGTATTTATTTTTAAAATTATTATGGCCATTAGCATAGAAATGAGCTGCAGCTCCCTGGCTGCTGGCCAACCCCACCCGGGCTGGCGCAGCTCCTCTCCATGGCAGCTGGAACAATAGTGCCCGGCGGATAACAGAGGTCCTGGCTCTTGCTGAGGAAAGACAAGTGACAAACAGGAGCAAAGCACTCTGCTCCATAAGTTTGTTACAATCAGTTGGGAGGCATATAAAAACCTCACCTGGGTTGGCAGAGACTTAGCCCCTCCAAGCAATGCCCTATAAAGCAGTTGAGTTCCTATCCCTCTCCTCTCCTTCCACCCAGTGATTTATTCCCAGGCTGAAAACACCAGCTAATCACTTACGTGGAAGTTCTGTTGCTGTTTTACAAGGGATACTCCAAAAGTCTTTTGTTTCTGCAACTGTAAATAAACTCGTAAGCCTGTTTTAAAAATAGCATTTTGTAGCTCGGTGCATGAATTTTTAATGCATCTTCTGCAAACCAGCTGGTCTTGGCAAGGGTCACAGTGTTTCCTAGGCATTTAACATAAAACTGTGCTTCAAAGCCACATTATAGGGTCGTTGAAGAGTAATATTTTACTTAACATCCTCATAACTGAATTATTTATAACTTACCATGTTTTATTCATGATAAATATTAATACTGGTTTCTTTAAGAGTAGAGGTTATTGCTGCAGTTTTACCTATAAGAGGTGATATTATTGAAATAAAGGAACGGCAGTGAATTCTGTAGCCAGCAGAGAGAAGTCTGTGCCAGGGCTGTTCTCATTCACACCTCCCTCTTCTTATCAACCCCGTCAGCCACCGAAAAACCTCAGCACTGAGCAAGTGTACATTTGAAAGGAATTTTCCTGCAGGCATTTGAATCCCTCTTTTTTTTTTTTCTTTATTAAAGAGCTTTGCGTCATTCTCATTAATTCTCGGATTCATTTTTTGGTGAGGGTTCATATGCTTTGGCTGCAAGATGCTCACTCTGGCCTGGGTCTCCCTGCAGGCTTCCTTGAGCTCTCCTGCTGCAAGCACCCCTGGATCCCCCATTTTTTGAAGCATCCCTTGCCACCTTGGAAGAGGAATCACCTGGTATGGGAGACCCCCCCAGCAGCCTTTGGGCTCCTTCTCACATGGCTGAGTGCTCTGGGACATGATCAGTCTCATTTCAAGGCTAAATTTATGTGAATTGGGTAAATTGCCATTGCACCATTGGGCTCCATCCTTTACCAGAGAGGATAATTGCATTAGCTTTCATCTTGGGAAAGGGAAATACAATTTTCTCTGATCTTTCGCCTTGTGCTGGTGTGTTCCCATCTGGCCGGAGCATCGCACAGCCACCCCTGATCCTGCTCCCATCGGTGCATCCCGACGTGGGGCTGGCTGCCCATCCCACCCTCATGGCTACAAACCCATCCCAACCCTACGGCCGTGCGGGACCAGGGCTTTGCTCCGTGTTGCTCCATCAGCTTAACAAATCTGCCGTCAGAGGGTGGAGAGCGGTGGTTGCGGGAGCAGCGCAGGTTAATGCAACACATATTTAATGTATGATTGCTAATGGCCATCTCCCATCTGCCTGAGCCCAACTGCAGTTTGCAGATGAATGATTAAGCTGCCCTGACACACAGGCAGCTTGTACCTTAGCAGAGCTACAGTCATTACACTTGATGCATGTAAAAGGGGATGAGGCTTACTTGATTGGGAGAAGGGTGTCATCGGGCTGGGGCGGTGAAGCAGAATCTCCGTTGGACTTTATTTTCTAGGATAATGTGAGAGATCTCCCCGTGGATGCAGCACTTTAAATGAATCATGAGCTAAAGAACCACTAGGATGTTTATTAGCTTTGAATATGTTTATTGCGGAGTCAACAGGCAGCACCTTCCAATTAATTAATAGTAATAATTATGGTATTATTTATGTAGCTCTAACAGCGTGCCAGAGTCTTTCCACATGATGGTTACAGCTGTGGCTGTGCTGGAGCAGGCTGGTGTGTATTTATCCTGCGTGGTTGGGGTGTGTCATTTGCTGTTGGGTGGTCCCAACCCCAGAAGCCTGGCTTTGCTGAGCTCTTGGCAGCTGCTCTCTCTGTCAGCTGAACCCTGTTGCTCCACATGGAAGAGATGTGGCTGTTCCTTCTGCAGTGCTGGAAGGCAGAGCATGCAATGAACGGGAGCACCTGCAAACAGAGATGGAAATCAAGGGCTGTAGGTTTTACCAGGCTGTTGGGGAGCTCTCCTGGTCAAGGTATTTAAACAAAGTGAGTTCAGGAATCAAGCTGTGCACATCAGAAGGATATTTACAATGTACCTAAGACACTGGCAGCAACGTAAAGAATCTACGTCTCTTTTCTGATGTGGGTCCAAAACCTGCTCAAGCTGTTGAGAATGACCTCTGATACATGCCAGTGCAGTGGCTGTGTATCTTGCTGCTCCCATCGACCTCACTGAGGACCATGTGGGTCATGGAGCATGGCCTCCTGTTCTGGTTGTGCAGAGGAAGGCAGATATCAAGAACTTGCCACTAGTCTTGTTTGTCCATGCAGAAAGTTAAGCTGCAAACCAGGCTTCTGCTCTTGCATTACAATCCCATTTGCTAGCTCTGGGAAATCAGAGTGTTTCTAGGTCATGTGAAGTTGTTGACATCTTCCAGTTGTGGATCTCTCTTCACATGTGAATAATTTTGTCTCTCTTTTTGTCTTCCAGCGATGTCCGACTTCCACATCCACCCTCAGAACGCAGTGGTGGAGGAAGGTGGTGTAGCAAGATTCCAGTGCCAGATCCATGGCTTGCCTGAGCCGGTCATCCTATGGCATAAAAACAGCATGCCGGTCAACACAGACAACGAAAGGTAGGACATGTCCAAGCCATGTGCTGCTGGTCTTTCTCCAGGTGCAAGAGAGTGACCAGGCTTGCTATTGCTTTCACAGTTGTGCTCAGAGACAACTAACCTGGGCTGAGGGTCTTGGCCAGTGTTTCTGCCGTGGAAGACTCTTTCCCTTAATGTTGTGGCTTTTCTAGGCTCCCTCTGACCAAACACCATGCAGAAGTACTGGCATCTCCCAGGAGAGGTAGATAAAGCCCATTAGCTGATTTTGAAGATCTTGCACTGATCCTGCATGATCAACCCTCCTTCAGATTTGTTTTCCAGCTTGAAGAACCTGCCCAGCAGTCCTCAAAGAGCTGAATAGCTTTGGCATCCATCATCCCTCTGTGGCTCCATTTTATGTAACTCGTTCTGAGCCAGATCCATGACTTAGGACCTTCTGTGTACTGAACTCTTGCAAGTGCTGAATTACACTGTGGCTATTAGACTTTCCTTCCCAGGTGAACTCCCTTGTGTGTGGCAACTGCAGAGAACATTCCATGGAACCATGAGCTACCATATCCCAAGCAGTTCTCCTAAAGAGAAACTCCAGCTGCCCCCCCTTCCCAACCTAGACCCAGAGCAGCACGTCGCCGCTTCCTGTGTTTGACAGGCTCTCCCTTCGCGTCGGAAACATCCCTCATCAGGGTTTGATCCTCAGAGCGGGGTGGGACAGGTGGCAGGAAACACATACTCTGTGCCAGCAGCCTCCAGGAATCCCAGCTGGAGCTCGGGAGCCGCACACCCGATGGCGGGAGACAATCGGTCACCGCACACCTCGATCGCGGATTGACGCCCGTGCCTTGGGAACAGGCGAAACCAGGAAGCTGTAAATACTTTCCTGAAAGCCCCTATTCTTAAAAATGTCAGTTCTGCAGCCGAACGTGTTTGGGTTCTTTGGAGACAGGAGAAAACACGAGGGCTGGAACAATACCTGACCTTTTCAGCGTGGCGGTGAACTTACAGTAGAAGGACCCAAGAGGCCCAAATCTGCTGTGGAAAACTGCAACTGTCAGGTTTTGTTTTTCCTTGCGTTTCTCATCTGAGTTTTTTTTAGCCCAGCACAGGGTTGATTTGTTAAGCTTGATCTCCTCTGAAGGATTCTTACTCATACAGGTGCTGAGCTGGGGATGTGGTAGAGCAGGATGACTGATCCGAGATGGCATCAGCAGAAGTAAGGGTCAGAGAACAGGGCCTGATGCTTTGTGGCATCCTGATGAGATGTAGCAGGACAGATGAAGTCCTCCATGCATCATTGATCCTTTGCAGTTGATCCCAGGGACACAGGTGTGGAGATGGTCAGAGATGTGGCAGGGACTTGAATGTGACTAGGACTTCTTTTCTCCAAGGCTGAGTAACCCCAAGGCTGAGGAACTCCAAGACCAAGAAGTCAAGACTTTTCTCCAACCCAGAGAGCTCCAACCTGATCTCATCCCTGCTACTTCTCCTCCAGGACAGGGACCTTGCCCAAGCCCTAGGGCACATGGGCTAGCAGCAGTTTCGCTACATTCGTGTCCTGATTTTGAACAGATTTGGCTTTTTGTAGGAGTAAAGTTACTGGGGAGGTTTTTTATTGTCAGCTCAGTAGATTAATCTCTGACACCAGAGCCTGGGTGATGAGGGTTGCTTCTCTAACTGAATTGGATTTCTGCATTAATCACGCCTGGTGCATTTCTGCCTATAAAGTGTATATAAATTTGTATGCCGAGTCTTGCACTCGGAGGCTTTGAAGGCAGGATAATAGCTTTGGAATTGAATCTTCTAATGCTGTGGGCAGATTGTTAACAAAAACGAGGGCTTCTTGTGGTATAATTCATCCAAAACAATGGGCATTTTAAAGTCCCAGAGAGATTGCAATCAACTTCGGGCCGTGTAAAACTGATTGCTGTCACGCTGCCACCGACACGGAGCCGCACGTTTGGAACCCGGCACAGGGAGCAGGTTATAGGCACTTAACCATATGCTGATATGGAAAAGATATTCTGCATCTTCCAGACGGAAATGGATTATTAACTCATCACGGTGTAATGGCTTACTACCAGCCAATTTAAACACGTGGTTGCCAAGCAACCTGTAATGTATGTGTACATGTATGTGTGTATGCACGCGTGATTTAAATGTACCCGTGTTTTAAAGATATGAAATATTTATTGATGTTTACATTTACCTGCTCAATGTTTATTTTAAACACGCCTTTTCATGGCTGTGAGGTTTCAAGCTCATGTGGATTTGAGAGCTGGACCTGGAGTGGGGAATGTGGAGCACAGACTTCTCCTGATGCTTGTCCATGATCTCTGTGCTGCAACTGATGAGTGATAATTCCCGTGTCATGATAAATCCCACGTCACCTGTGTTCATGTGAAAATGCACTGCCAGAGCTTTTCCACAGGTTAAATAGGAAGCATTTACTTTGTAGCCTCCCAGCAAAAGTCATCATTTCTCAAGGATGCAGCAGGAGATGAAGAAAGGGAACATAACCTCCTTAAAGAAGACCAGAGGCTCATGTATCCATAAAAGTACTGATGCAGTGACAGGCGTGGGCTCGGCCTGCGGGGGCCACATCCCTTGGTGTGTTGGCACCTCCGCACTGGGATGTGGGAGCCAACCTACCTGACCTGGATGGGAGTGCAGCCTGCTGTCACATCGTGCCCTACTTTGCAAGCTTTTGTTTCTGCTTTTCTCCTCCCACAGGTACACACTGCTTCCCAAGGGGGTTCTCCAGATAACGGGACTGAGAGCAGAAGACAGTGGGATATTTCACTGCGTTGCCACCAATATCGCTAATGTGAAGTTCAGCCGGGAGGCCCGACTCACCGTGTCAGGTTAGTACCAGCTACACTGTCCTGGCTGCCTCTCTCTCTTTTTTCTCTGCTGCTGTTCTGGACCAGGACAGTTTAGGAGAAGCTGCAGGCTGACAGCACTGAGAGGCATTCCTCTGTCCAGTCGTAACACCTCCTGTGTTCTGGATTGTTATTAGTTCCTGCCAGATCAGTCCGTTTGATAGCAGATAAATCTGTCTCTTTGCCTGTAAATTAGTGCCAGTTTCTGGGTAGAAGGAGGACAGTGAGAAAATTGAGTTACAGCAGCTTTACATTAAATAAATTCTTTTGGAAATATGGACGATTTATCATTTCCTTATGAGACTCGCCCACTCTGGAAGTAATTGCAGCACACAGGGTGATCAATTCTTTATCTAATGAGGGAATTGTAGGCTATTAGCATTGCATGGACTGAAGCAGCCTAACCCTCCTTTGGAAGAGGAGAAGGAGAACTCTGAGCACCCCAGACTGAGTTTTGACTTGGTTCTTTATCCGCATTTGAAGTCAGTGAATGAAATAGGTTTTCACCTCAGAAAGCTTCAGCTGAGGAAATACTGGTGCCTTATGGTCTCCTCCTGGCAAAAAAGGCCAAAATCACATACTTGCTGTTTGGCTTCTCTCTGCCCAAGGTGGGGTGTGACGATCAAGCAACCAGGAGTGAATGACACCTTTGTGCCCTGTTAGAAATGCCTTTCATCTGTTCAACATCCTTGTATGAAAACAGGACAGCTTCCTTCTCCTGGTTGTCAGGGCAGTTGGGGGTTACCTTCAGGGAAGATAAAAGTGCCAAAGAAGTAGTCACTGCAAATTGTGGCTGTGTCCTGCTGGCAGGGTGGGCTCTGAGATACAGGACTCCAAGTCAGAATCCCCCTAAGATTCTGGGTACCCACTGTGCTCCCCTGTGACAACAGTGGTGATACATCCATGGCTCTCTAGTGGGGGACATTCCAAATTCCCTGTGGAAATGTAGATTACATCTTTGGAGATAAGAGGCAAGGAAAGTCTGCACAGGGCTGATTGGGTGTGTGCTTCTCTTTGAGCTTTTTTTATGTGTAGCAAAAGGTCTTTCCCTTGAGCTGCAATCCTCCTGTCCATCAGATACACATAATTGCTGATACCCAGGCTTGTCAGCCTACAATCACATCTCACAGCTCCCCATCACCCTCCAAAACGCTGCCTGGCCAGTGGTTCTGGAGCAGAGACTTAACACCTATACTGAGTGTCAGATGAGCCTCTGCCAGCAGTGAAAAAGCTGCACGTATGAAATGGGGTGAAGCCGAGGGAAGAGTGATGCTGTGTGTATCAACTCTGACGGGCAAAGAAAGCAGGTTAACTGGTTCTGAAAGACCTGGGAGCTTTTGGTGCCTGTTACTTATCTGTTTTCTTGATCTATTTGAACAGTAGCCACGTGGAGGGAAAAAAGAACAGTAAATTATCGACGTGGTGAAGTTCTTTGTGTCAGTTTACTGACCTGAGTTATTATTTCTCACAGGGCAGAAAGCACTAGTTGTTCTCGTCTGACCATCCCTCATTTCAGATGGATATTTTCCAGGTTTCCTGTCTGTGAAACATTTGTGGTTTTTTTCTCTTCCTTTAAGCAGTTGGATGATGGATACAGGCACCATGTATAAGTGTCTGTTGAAGGGTTTGGATCATGCTTCAATGCCTGCATGTCAGCAGAGCTGCTGTAATGGGACATTTGCATGAAAAACCTGTTGCACTGGGTTAAACCTCCATGGAAAAGGTTTGTGCTCTGTGGTGTTTGCTAAGAGCACACAAATATCTGTTAGACCAGGGCAGCAGGTATGTGTTAGCATGTGAGCCCCAGGCTTTGGCACAGCAGCAGAGGCTGTGGTGAACCACAGAGGTGGCACAGAGATGTTGTTTCACTGGTGTGGGTGTTGTGTCAGTAAATACTGAGCTAATGTAAGGGGTGCTGTGCACATGGAGTTTGGCATGGTGGGGTAACCAGTATTCTTGCAAATTTTTGTGTCACCTCCCACTTGTGTCACGGGGTGAAGGGAATGGTTCTCTCTGCTCTTCATCACGGCAGGAGGGCTCCCTATTTTCCTAACAGGGCAGCAACTTCAGCCATTGCTTCACCCAGAGAGAAGCACTAAGTCTGCCTGCCTGGGGTTTCCAACCACACCCTGACTGGGGAGAGAAGAGGAAGAGGATGAAGATGGGCTCTGGAAGGCTGTGTGCCCTGCAGGGCACTGCCACACCCTGGCTGGAGAGGAAGAGGAGGGTGGCTGCCTGCAGGGGGTGAAGGAGCCTGCTCGAAGTGCTTTCCCTCCTCTCCCTGGTTGCAGGGCTGCCGGCAGCGAGCGGCGCGGGGATGTCTTCCAGTCCTGCTGATTGATTATTTTCAAGTGCCTGCTTAGCAGAGCTGCTCCCGAGGGGCTGCCTGCCTCTCTGTGCTGACACCTTCCCAGTGTGAGCTGCATCTCTCTCTGCTGCTGTCCTTTTGATCAAGATCTGGCAGGCGACGCTCCCGTCCCTGCTGGAGTGCCTGTCACTGCTGCGGTGCCGGGGACCTCCCAGTCCTCACCTCGATTGCTGCTGGTGGAATCCCTGGGGACCACGGGCATCATTAGAGCCTTTTTCCCTTTCAGAATAAATCCCTCCTGCACTGCCCTGACCCCTGTTGTGCTCCAGCGGCGCTCCCCTGCCATGAGTCCCTCGTTTTGTCACTCCTTCCTCCCCAACCCTGCATCAAAGGGCTGTTCTGGTTGTAGAAGGAAACCTCCTCCTTGATGGTGGGGCATGGTCGGCCCCTTTGCGTGGTGCTGATGTCTGACTGCAGCATCCCTGCTGGATCACTGTCCCATCTGCCCCTGGAGCTGGCACTGTCATGGGCATTGGGCTCAGCAACAAAGCTACGGGATCATTCCATGGCCTTTGCAGGAGAAGGTGAGCAGCAGTGCCACTTCCAGAGCTGGGCAGGGTTTGCCCAGACTCAGGGAGCTGAGCCCACACCCCAAAACCTGAATGTCTGCTTAGGACTCAGAGTATAAATCAGAGTGAGATTATTAAAATACTCTATTGTCAGAATAGTGTGTTTTATAAATTCTACTTTGATCTCAGCTCCCATTTGCTGATATTCTTGGGTGACCTTGGACAATTCATTTCATTTCTCTGTGTTTTGAAATATTGAAATCGCTATATAATATACTGATAATACTGTATTATTCTAAGCGTGAACATTTAGTATTGTGATTTAGAACAATAAATCCACATGGGTTTTAAAGGCACTCCGAGGTACTGAAGGGAAGGGATTGTTTTTCGGATCTCTTGGGGTTAACCAGCCGGTCATATGAATTTATTGTGCATTCTGGTTCTCATCAAAAAATCTGCATTTTATGGCTTGCAGTGAAATGCATTTAGTGAGAAAGTCAGCTCTTAAGTCACACTGACACGGTGATTTTTCTTGGATTTTGCCCATTTACACACGAGCTCGGAGTCACTTTATCGCTCCCTGTTTAGCTCCTGTAGGAACAATTAACAGACGAGGTGCTCTGATCCATGTTTGCCCTTGGACCGCTGTGAAATCCCCCTGCTACACCCTGACTCCAGCCCCTGAGCTGCTGAGAAATGATAACACTCAGAAGTGCAGGAAGAAAAGAATGTTTTTCTTGGAGAAAAGCCCCTGCAGATATTTTTTGGTGGATCACTTCTCTTTAACAAGCTTTTTGGACATTGGAAAGTCCACGGAGAGGAGTCAGTGTGGGATGATCCCTACGGCAGAGCCTAGCCAGGGGCTGTGCTCCCCAGCCTTCCCTGTGCCCCTCTCCTGCTTGGGGGCACATGACCAGCACAAGTATTTCTCTGCACAGGTGTACAGAGCTTTCTTGCCAGCAGCAGCTGTCAGATTGATGGAATTCCTTAAACACTGCTTGACCTCAGCATTTCTGGAGTGTAACCCGGCTCTCATCGGAGATGGGGAGAAAGACTAATGCAGAGGTTTTCAGTGTTCCTGTTTACTGATGGAGAACTGAGAATATCCATTGGTTTTGCTCCTCTCGTGTTCCCAACAAATAGGAGTAAAGGCTGCAGGGACATTTGGCCCAGGGATAAGGCATTTTTTAGGGACTCAGAAGATTTGGGTTCAGCTGTGGTATTTCTGACACAGGATGGTGGTTTTGTCCCATACTCTTGTCCTGTCTAGTGAAAAGTCCTGTGCCTGGATTTTATTTTATTATAAGTCTGTGCATCATCTTGTGTGATGGCTTTCATTCTTGGTTGCTGCCACTTGGTGCTACTGTAGTGCAAATAAATGATTAGTGATTGTGTTGTGAGCAGTGAATGTGTCACAATTAGAGGAATGGGATGCATCCTCTCCCTGCAGGAAAATGGCAGGGAAATGACAACCCCATGGGCTGCAGTCATCAGAGGAGCATCACCTCTCAAAAAGATCCTCAGCAGGAGTCAGGGACTGGCACCTGCATCACTCTGTGTCCCAGGACAGGGCTTTTGGAGCAAATGATACCCAGCAGCAAGAGAGGCTGCTCACAGAGACAGATTTAGGCATTGTGGACTGCATGGATTACTTTATGGCTTGAGATGCTGAAAGATAAAGCAATTCCTTCATTTATTTGCATTCCTGCTATTCTGTATCTTGTGTCCTCTCTATATACCATGGTTTTCTGCACATCTGTTCTCTGCAGTTCACAGTGCAGTCCCTTCTTTACTCTGCTGATATCCCTGTGTTAACAGGGCTGTTTGTGGCTGGTCAGTTGGCTCAGGAGTTTCCCCAGGAATATCAGTGCGCACTTAAAACATGTTCAGAGTGACTGTCATGCAAACATCGTGCTCCTTTTGTTTCAGGTACATCTCAAATTTATTGAGGATTACACCAGCCACATCATTTAGAGTCCTAGAGTGGTTTGGGTTGGAAGGGACCTTAAAGATTATCTTGTTCCAACCGCCTGTCCTGGGCAGGGACACCTTCCACTATCCCAGGTTGCTCCAACCCCCATCCGACCTGGCCTTGGACGCATCCAGGGATGGGGCAGCCACAGCTTCTCTCTGCAACTTGTGCCAGTGCCTCACCACCTTCACAGCAAAGAATTTCTTATGTATGTCTAACCTAAATTTCCCCTCTTTCAGTTTGATCTCATTACTCCTTGTCCTTTCACTGCACTTCCTGATGGAAGAGGATGTGTGCTTAGAAGAGATGTACTTAAAGGATGCGTGAAGTCCTCGATGTTTCCTTTAAACAAGAGATAATCAGATGCCTTTTAACAATGATTCTGTCCTTGCAGGCTCCCACTCCACCGTTTACAAGGACCCCATGATTCTCGTGGGGCCGGAGAACCTCACGCTGACAGTGCACCAGACGGCGGTGCTGGAGTGCATCGCCACGGGCAACCCCCGGCCCATCGTCTCCTGGAGCCGCCTCGGTAAGCCCTGGGGTCACTGGGATTTCCTCCTGCTCCTCCTCCCCATAACCATCATGTGGGAAATAGGTAGATGCCACTGACTATTTTATACAACAAGCGATTCACCCTCTCCCTTCCCGCTAAAGCTAATTGTAGGCTTGAAGTGCTTTTTATCCTCATGTCTACACTGGTTTTTCTCTCTGCCAAGATCCTGTTTTCAGCTGTTAGAGAAGTGGGTTGGTTAAACCTGTAAATGTTTCTTGAAAGGTGATAATTTTATCTTTTCTCAAGTGACAGCATCTTCTGCTGCTGCATCAAAAACATCACCACTGTTGGCCTAGAGAAGCAAAATCATACACAAACACATATTTCACGTAAAAAGAGACTTGAAAGAAACTTGCTACCTGTTCAGGGAGTTTTAAAACCATTTTGAGGGAAAGAGAGTGTTTAAAGTAGTGTGTCTGAAGCTCTGAAAAAACAAATGCTTGCTGCTGGGGTCCGTGATATGTTTTAAAATCAGCATGGAAACCAGAGATAGTGTCAGATGGCATCACGCAAGCGATGAAGAGCAAAGGGCTGTGTTTCTCCAAGGGTTGTTTTAGGTTCTAACTTTGTGATAATAGCTTGGAAACTATCTTGCTCAGAGCAACACTTCCATTGCCCTGCAGAAACCTGTGCTGAGCAAAGAGCTGATGGATTTTGCTTTATCTTCTAGAGCTTGTAACTCTACCTGTGCGCGCGGTATTGGGTTGGGTTCACTTAGTGTTTCCCAAGCCCTTGCCGTCCACAAGTGATGTTGTTTTTGGGATGCTCATCTCCCCTTGTTCCCCAAGGTGGCTGTGAAGCACGAATAGGGGTAATTCTGTCTTGTGCTGCAGTGCTGGATGTGGGACTTCACCTCTGTGGCTCTCCAAGGGCCAGGGTCCAGCTCATGGGCAGGGTGACTTCCCACTCCAGACTCGTCTGACAGGGAATGAGGACACGTATCCAGCATCAATTGCATGATTTTTCTGTGTTTGCCCTCCTGCTTGCATCCTCTGGTGGCATGTAAAATCAGCCTGTCTCTGCCACTAACTGCTTTTTTTGCCTCTGGAGCCATAACTATCAGATTGATGCTGTTTTAAAGATTCCCCAGATACGCTGTATCACTGGTTTGGTTCTCTTGGACACAAGGCAGCTCTACGTTAGCGCTCAACTATAATAAACTACTTTATAATTGCCTTAATTATAAGTGCTTATTACCTTCTTCAAAACACTTGTCTCCATAGAGCAGTGCAATAATGAAGATGTAATAGCACCGTGCGATGTTTGTCTGGGTGGTCTGAGCTCAGCATTGCCTTCCACCAAAAATAAATACCTACTCCACGCAGCACTGGGGCAGAATGAGAGCTACTGAATGGGAAACAGATCCTGTTATTTTCCCTCCCCTTCAGCAGGAACGGTTCCTGTCCAAAGCATCACGAGGTCTTGTTTATATGACACAGATCTCGACAGTGATGTGGCACATGAACAGGCTCTCTGATGACTCGGTGGGTTTGTCATCTCTTTGTAGCCTTTTCGGAAGTGCTTTCATGTCACTCTGTCTGTGTGATCAGGAGGAAGGAGAGGAGTTTGTTCTGGACAGGGAGATCCTAAGAGTATCTGCCATCTCTGGCTTCCTCCCATGAGGAGGTCTTCCTGAAGTTCCTCCTATAGAGCTGGTTTAGCTTAGATAACCAGTTAATTGCACAGAATCGTTAGGGTTGGAAGGGATCTCTGGAGATCACCTAGTCCAAGACCCCTGCCAAGGCAGGAATTTACTCAGCTTAGGAAAAAACCCACTTTTAATCCATTCCCAGGAATAAAAAAATCCATGGCCATGAAGTCTTAGAGAGATGCAGCTGATTTAGCAATAGACCTGACTTAATTTAAACCAAAAAAGTCAATTCTATGTGAACACCTTTCTTCCCTGGTCGAAGTAAAGAAGAGCTGTGGCATTGCAGTTGTGCTGGGCTTTGCACAGGGCATGATGCTGTTTTGGAGTCTCTCTCTGATCTCCTTTGCTCACAGTTTTGACATTGTGGCATTTCTGTCAAAAAGGAGCAAAAGAACAATTTTGCTTTCACAGCTTTCTGGTGCAGGGGAAAGCAAGCCATAAACACCATTTGCACTTTTTGCTTTGGCTTTGCTAAAACCTGGTTGGTTTTCAGTGGGAAAGGCAGCTATATCTTTTGCTTGAAGGGAATCATTCAAATTCTGGACCAGTTTTTGAGTGTCACACAATCAATTTTGAATTTAATTTCCTTGGGAATATGTTGTAGCCCCCTGACCACAAACAGAATTCCTGTGTCTTGCCGTGCATGAAATGTCAACATTCATTAGAGAGCAAGCTCTGAGAAAGATGTAAAATCATTAAGGGTTTGTTCAGGGAAGATAGGGCTTTTCCTTTCAGAGCTACGCACTTCAGGCTTGGACCTGTATGTGTGCACAAATGAATATCCTGGGCACTTACTGCAAAGCCTTTTGAATGAACGACGATTTTAATGTATCCTTACCCTTTAACTGACAGGCCACTGAGCTGGCCTCCATAAAAGGTACCAAGGCAGAATAATAAACTATTTAGAGAGATATAGAAAAGTGAGGCGAGAAAGAAAGGACAGTGATTATCTGATAGCGTTATACAGAAGTTGTCAGAAAGGGCCGCACAATGGGAAGGAAATTACTAAAGAGGGAGCCATTCAAGAAGTAAACTATACAACAATTGTAGGAGCCAATTAATTGGTAACTTATTGGACACAGAAGCTTGCAATAGATGGCTGACTGGTTGACAGGAGCACCGTTCCCGTAAGTGTTTAGAAATAATAGAGTAAATTTCACCACTTCACACACTGAATAGTCAACTGTTGCAATGTACTCTAAATATGCTAATCCACAGTGCCCAGTGTCCGCTGGAGCAGGAGACCCATGTGTCTAAGAAGTGGAAGGCTACTATGACACAATACAAAGAATTCACAAAAGACCTAAATGATCAACATTAGAAAGTTGTTACTTTCTTTCTACTTGCTACTTATCAAAGAAAGGCGTTCGTGTTGTTGCATATTCATATTGCCTGGCACGTTTTAAGGGGGCTCCGTAATTGGTGCCGGTGTGCCAATCACCCGGCTAGCAGGCGGAGAATGGGCTCCAGAAAGCATCACATACACCTTGGAAAAATAAATAATGCGGCTCCCAAACCTCAAACGTCTTTCATCCAGACTCCATCCCGCCAGGGAACATGGAAGTACCTGAAGGAGGCCTAAAGGAAGGCCTGGAGAGGGAGATTTTGCAAGGGTGTGTGGTGATAGGACAAGGGAGAATGGCTTTAAGTTGAAAGAGAGTAGACTTATTTTTGGATATGGGGAAGAAGTTCTTCTCTGTGAGGGTGGGGAGGCCCTGGCACAGGTTGCCCAGAGAAGCTGTGGCTGCCCTATCCCTGGAAGTGTTCAAGGCCAGGTTGGATAGGGCTCTGAGCAACCTGGGCTAGTGGAAGGTGTCCCTGCCCATGGCAGGGGGGTTGGAACTGGATGGTCTTTAAGGTCCTTTCCAACCCAAACCATTTTATGATTCTGTGAACTGTACTAGGCTGTAGTTGGAGCATCTTTCGCGAGCGTCTCCCATTTGGAGAATGGTCTCCTTTATTAGGGTTTGTCTGCTCTTCTCAACAGCTGAACCTCCCCCTTCTGTCCTCATCAACTGAGCATCGACAGAGAGAATCTGTATGACATTTCCACACAGACTGGCTTGTTTTCAGCCCTCAAATTTTCTGCTTTTGACTTCATAAAAAGAAGTAGAAGGTCACGTTAAATGAGCAGTGGTTTCAAGCTTTCATGGGTCCCGAGAGCTTTGGGAACTGAGCGAGTGTTAGCTTTTGCAGTCTTTCAGCTCTCCTCCATGTAGACATGACTTGGTGATGGCAAATGATACTGGGGTTCACAGGGTTGGGATTGGTTGATCCAAGCCACTCTTCAGGTCTCTGTGGAAAGAAAACAGGGTTAAAATAAATAACAACCTTTACAAAGCAGGTGTGAGACGTAAGTCCCTCAGCACAGCAGTTCTGCAAAGTGCTGAGCTTTCAGGATGCAAGGAATTTCTTGGGTAAACACTCTGTATTATTTATATGTGTTGTCACTGTTGCTAAGTTGGACTAGATATTAGCTGAAGACCTTCTAACTGCAGGACTAACTTCTAGCTGCAGGACAGCTCAGGCTGAGTGAGGCACAGTAGAGTGAGAAGGATGGAGTAGGCTGGGAAAGTAGAAGTATTTCTGTAGAAGCCTTTTTCAGTGCTCTTTGGAAGGGAGGAGTTGAGTGAGAGGTGTCTGGGATGATCTGGCAGTGATCTTTGCTGGCCGTTAGAGGTGGTCACACTCTCTGACCCAAATGGCAGATCTCTGAGGTTTCTGAGCTTGGAGAGCTTTGTCCTCCAGGGAAATAAAAGATTCTTGGTTTACAGGAGATGTTTCTTCAGACCACCACACCTCTAGTTAATAGCTGGAGCTAGGGAGGGAACTGAGGACGTACTGATGCTGGTATTTGGACTGTGGGGAGTACCTGCTGCAGGCTGGGTCTTTGCATGCTTAATTTATGGAGCACGTTATAAATAATACAGTAAAACTACTGACATTCAAGTCACATTTCTGTGGTATTTGTCAAGGCAATGATGTGATGAAGGATCCAGGTACGGCCACTTTGCATCTGTCATCCCTCCCTCAAGAGAGAGATTCGATTTTTATGCCTATTGTAAATTCAGACTTCCAAAAAGTCTAATTTAAAAGGTGAAATCAAATTCAATTTGAATTTAATTCAGACCTCTCTACACTTCAGTTCAAGTGCCAGTTGGAAGGAATGGTTCCTTGTTACTGCTCATTAAATGTGGGACAGGTCATGTTTTACTGTCCTATTAATGACTGAGCCATTTACTGCAGCAGTGGCTTGGCCAGCTATGTGATCATGTAATCATTTAATGGCATTGTTTTTCTCTCTCTAAAGGACTTGGGCTTTTTTCTTTGCAATGCAAATAATGAAGGGGTCTGGCATTGCCTTCCTAATGAAGCAAGGAAACCTTTAAGTTTCAAAATTTCCTGAAAAACAATATGTAAAGAGTGTGGCATGAGATAGGTTTGGGAACTGCTTTGTAGCTCTCTGTTCTGCTTTGCTGGTGTTTCCTAATGTGATATTGCTGTTAATCCAAAATGAGATCCCTTGCTTTTGTGGTTGTATTGGGTTTGCATGGCAAGGTTTTGGTAGTGTGAAGGTTAGAGGGGTGGCTTCTGTGAGAAGGTGCTGGAAGCTTCCCCCATATCCAATGGAGCCAATGTCGACTGGCTCCAAGATGGATCTTCAGTGACAGGGGTAGTGCCTCTGGGAGAACAGATTTAAGAAGGGGAAAAAACCCAAAACGTGTGCATTTGCAGCTGGAGAGAGGAGTGAGAATATATGAGAGGAACAGCCCTGCAGAGTCCAAAGTCAGTGAGGAAGGAGGGGCAGGAGGTGCTCCTGGCGCTGGAGCAGATTCCTGTGCAGCCCATGGTGAGGCAGCTGTGCCCCTGCAGCCCATGGAGTTCCACAGGAGAGCAGAGATCCACCTGCAGCCCATGGAGGACCCCAGACTGGAGCAGGTGGATGCCCAAAGGAATCTGTGACCCCATGGGAAACCCACACTGGAGCAGGGTCCTGGCAGGGCCTGTGGAGAGAGGAGCACACATTGGCCGAGGCTTGCAAAGTGATGACCTGTGCTGCCTTCACTGATGCTGCAGGGACATGACTCTGTCCCATCACCTGCCTTTTCATGAGGACCCAAGCACTGGCTGGGCAGCAGGTTGCAAAGTGGCATTTCTTGGTTGATGGTTGGTTTGTCCCTCTCCTTGAGCACTGCTTTGCCTTCATCTTTTCCCGGTCTGTTCCAGAACCTGTTGGTTATGAATGGCCCAAATCCTCATAATACTCTTTATTATGCAAAGTGTGATATTACATCTAAAACATGTCATTGCAGAATAACTTTTAACTAGCCCTGCATGCTGTCTGTGTTGGAGCATGAAGCTCATGGCAAGATTATGGCACATTCCAACAGAGCTTCCAGGAGGAATTTTTCAGATGATTTTTTCCTTCTGCTAACCACAACTTTGAAGCACAAGACACAGATTTTTCTGCTGTAGCACAGCACACAAGTGCGGAGGGCTCTTTGAATGGTCAGGTGGGGACATCACCAGGGCTGGTTCTTGCTTTTCCCATTTCTGTAGGTTCTCCATGAGCAAACTTGAGAGAAGAACTGAATTCCCATTTCCTATCTGATGAAAATGAAAGTGTACTCCCTTAAGCTGCTTCTCCAGTCAAATTCCTCCCCTTGCCCTCTGCTCAGACACCCCGACACGTGCTAGGCCTGATTTAGAGCTGCCTTTGTCAGACAGTGCCTTAAAACACAAATCAATGAAACAATAAAAAGCAATAGCCTGATACTAATGAAACACGTTGTAATTAGAGCTGGCTGGGAATTTTCCAGAGAAAACAAGCTTTGTTGGGAAAAAAAAGTGAATTCCCTGATACTGAACTATGTCACATGCCTCAGATCCATCATTCAGGATGGAGGCAGCCCTTTCCAATTTCCCTTCCAAGCCAAAGCATCTGAGGAGATGTAACCACCAGCTCAGAGTCTGGCTCCTTGGCCCTGAGCTGCTGTGTGTTCAAGAGCTAGGGAGTTGAAAATCCAGTCTTCGTGTATTTTTCAAAGCCACAAAAAATCCACCAAGGGTTAGCAGGCAAAAAAGTGTCACTTCTGGTCCCCAGGTCATAAATTGCTGGTGACTGGGAGAGTACATCAGGGAAGCACTGCTGCAGGCTCACTGGACTTCTTCCCGGAGCCTTTCCATTGCAAGCAGGCTGTTGAACTGGTTGGATCCTTGTCAGTCTAATATAAGAACCCAGGCAATGGCTTGCAGAAGCTGAGATGATTTACCTTGGTTTAGCCTCCTTATTGAACTGTGTCCTGCAAAGAGCATCAGCTGAATCCCACTGACCTTACTTGGTAAATCCCAGTAACAGAACATGGCACCACTCTGTAAGTACCTGGACTGGACCTCACTGAGGGCTGTGTCCTGGGGAACCTCACACAGAGGTCCAGCATGTGACTGTTGTCCTTCTCCCCTCCTTTCAGATGGTCGCCCAATTGGTGTGGAGGGGATCCAGGTGCTGGGGACAGGAAACCTCATGATCTCAGACCTCACCGTGCAGCACTCTGGAATCTACGTGTGCGCCGCCAACAAACCCGGCACCCGCGTGCGCAGGACGGCCCAGGGCAGCCTCGTGGTACAAGGTGAGCAAACCCTCCTCACGGCCCCTGGGCACTGTCATGGGGTGGGTTGGACAGCTGCTGACTGCACTCCTCTGATGGTACCAGACACGTGGTTTCCCAAGTGGGTGGGTGTGTCTGTGTCCCACACAGGTGAGTAGCAACCAGGTATCATTCTACTGTGGCCTCAGCTGTAAGAGTTGCAATGGTTTCCCACCACATCACAGGCATTTATTTGGCTTAGCAGACATCAGTTTTTTGTTGTTATTATACTTTTACATCTCAGCAGAAAGCCCAGGCTGAATTAATCAACCAAATTTGTCTCATGGTCCTTAGCGATACAAGGACATGGTTGCTGTTCTCATATTGGACGCCTCTGAGTGACAGATACCACCCCTGCAGAGATATCCAGCAGTGGGTACCACTCATGGAGTATTGCTCTCCAACTGAAATGGCACCATCAAGTCTAAAACCATTTCCAAAAAGTCTGCAGGACTGTTTTCTTCAGCAGTAGATACTGTGTCTGAGCCTGTTGCTGTGACCTGAGTGAAGCACCCTTTGGGGCCATGCCCATGGGATGCAGGTTTCTCCTCTACCTGCAGCAACTGTCCTGAAATGCTAAAGGACAGTTCAGCCCAGAGTAGAGATCAGCACTGAAGAAACCACACAAATCCCCTTCACGTGCTCCGTGCAACCAGTCTCCATGGTGAGGGGAGCCAGGCAAGTATTTGAGAAGGCAAACCCAGCTGGCAGCGTGCTCTGAATGGCAGCAATCCGCCCCTGATTACAGGCACTCACCTCCTCTTCAAGCTCGTCCACTTAAAGCATCTCGTGCTCTCATCAGTTCACTCATTAACTATTGACTGATGATATCCTGAATCTAAAATTACACACCTCCTGCTGGAGCTGCTAATTGAACCTTTCATGCTGGTGATGGGCAAAGTGCCCTGCTCCAACCCTGATGCTCACCTGACAGATCCCAGGAGCTGGTGGTGATCCAGCCAGCCAGGGAGGAGCAATGTAGAAAGGGTGCTTGTACTGGGCTGCTCCTGCCCCCTGAGCCCCAGGTGCTGATCAGACATGAGAGGAGGTGAAAACTCTGGATTTTTGGGTGAGCATTGCAACCAGAGGGCCTCCCAGCTGGCACAACTATGAGTCTTCTTATTAATAAACACCAACTCAGGCATGAAGAGCAAGTTTGATGTAGATAAAACCGTTTAGAACTGCTACAGGACAGCTCTGCACATGGGATGTGTAGCAGAGGCTTCCTAAGCCCAAATGCCAAGCTGATGTCCAGGAGGAAGGGAGGCAGAGCCAAAAGAAGGTACTTGGAAAATCAATGAAATTTTAAAAATACAGCTATTGAATACTGTTGACTGCTCCTGTTAGCAACTGGATAAGAGGGTGAAAGGTAGCACAACTTCTCATTGCTACACATCAGTAGCTGTTTGGAGAGTTGAACATCACTTCCTGGTGCTGGAGTTCAGGTGGGGTAGAATTACTATGTATTTTTGTCCAGGGAACCAAGATGAGAATTTGTCCCTAAAATGTTGATCACAGGCTGTTGGAGCCCAGCCTTGCTGTGGGGGAAGGATGCTCTTGCGTTCAGCATCAGCAGAGAAGTTGGCAGTGGTGTGGAGGAGTGTGGCCAGTGTGTCCTTGGTGTAGCCCTTAGGCATGAGCTGCAGTGTCCAGGACCCCAACCTGTGTTGCCCATCCTTAAAATGCTTCATGTTTCTTGGGAGACTGTTGTTGCTCAGGCAGGGTAATCGCAGACCCTGGCCAGGCAGCTGAGCTCATCCCAGGTTTGCTCACCCCCCCCTCTGGAAGCAGCTTTTCCTTCCTCTGCATCTCATTTTGCCTGAATTTTCCAGCTGAGAGGTACAAATGATTGCTGTTCAGGTTTGTCTGGGAAGAAAACAGCGATAATGACTGACATGGGAGACTGTGGGTTTTATCTTTGTCAAGATGTCAGCGATGCAAATTACATCCGTAAAGAGAAGAAAAGCAAAGAGCAGGCTATCAAAAGCCTGGTTGGAGAGGAAGTTAGCACAGGGCCAGGACAATACAGCGTCCTCAAAGCACGCCAGGCCAGGTACTTGCTGCCTTTATTCAGGGGCCCTTGAAGTGCCCGGAGGCACAAATTAACTTGCCCCGCGCCTTTTGAAGGAGGCACATTTTATAGGTGGGAAACGCGGGGAGAAAGGGCGATGTTTCCTGTTGTAAGGCGAGAAGCTGGCGGGAAGCTGGGGCTGAGACCACGTCCTCCCTCCTGCTGCCAGCAGTGGTCCTTGTCCCATCACAACAGCTGCATGAGCAGAGGTGTCCCAGCGCAGGGCTCTGCTCTTCCTCCTGCAGTAATGTCCTTTCCCAATGCAGGCTTTCCTTCAGATCATCTAACGCCATCTTATTATCTTCCTGGGAATTCTTCCTCCCTCCAGAGGAGAAGGCGTCAATCCCCCGCTCCCTCCCTCCCCGTCCTCCCCTGGCCATTTAGGCTCCTTTGATCTCTTTTGTAAGGTTCTCACACAAGAAAGTTTCCATTTTCCCTTCAGATCCCGGCGCAGCCATTTGAATATTGCTTTGTGCCGAGCTGCCAGTGAAAGTCTCACGGGGGGAGTTGTGGAAGGGCCGAATGCGGCGCCGGCTGAAGCAGAGGGTGTGTGTGCATGTGGGGCGAGGGAAGAGCAGGCTTCGGTGGAAAGGGAAAAAAATATATCAAAGCGCTTTCCCTCTACCTCCTGTGCAATCTTTTGTGCTTTATTATGTGTTTGGTGTCATAACAAACTGATGGGCTGTGAATGGCCAGATGGTCACCAGTGTTCTCCACTCCACGCTTCATTTCCTCCTGAAAGCTATGCAGAAAAATGAGATCCCATCTCATAAATGAGGGCCCATCTTAAGGACATGGGTTTGAAGGCTCTGCTGACAATGACTGCCTTGTTTGCCTTGCTTTCTGCTGGCAGGACCGGGCAGCACTCCTTGGTCCAGCAGATCCGGCCACCGCTGCGCTTCCTGATGTTTCTTCCATCGTTCTTGCTCGCTGGCATCACGAGCTGTGGCTACGGGGTGGAATTCAGAAGCAGATGTATTGCAGTTGCTGTAGCTTAGGCTTGGCTCTGTGGTACTTGGTTTGTCCTTTGAGTTTAGCCCTAAGTTTGTGCTGCAAACTAGTTTCAGTATGTGCTGCTTGAGTCAGTGTCCCCTATGGACAGTTCCCTCAGTTCCCTTCCTGTCCACATTTTCCTTCTCAAGAAGAGCCACCATCTAGGGACAGGGGGTGCTCAAATCTTGTCCATTAGGATGCTGGAGTGAGCTGGGGTGTCTGAGCCCTCTGGAGCATTCTCCCAGGACTACACCAGTAGGTGATGTGGGAACATATCCCACTGCTGTGGAGCTCCAGCCTGCACCTTGCTGGGACGAGAATGTCATGAGGCTGAAGGACAGCCTCCATGACAGCCTCCGTGAGTGGTCTCTGCCTATTTTCCAGGGAACATGAGCACAGGTTCCATTTTTGGCCCTTGCAGTCCCATCACTGCTACTTACATCACTCACATAAGCATCTGGGCATCCTCTGTAGTCAATAGAGAGAAGCCAAGTGAGCAGCAGTTGTCTTAAATCTTCTGTCACCGGTTGCTGTGCTTGACTGACTTCCCTGTTGACCTGCCTTCTGCTTGATGCCCTTATTGTAGGTGCCACTAGCCTAATTTATGAGGTTTTGTTGTTTCCATGTTATTCTTCCTTCTCCTTACCTCAGCCTCCCTCCCTCCCCCCCTGCCACAGGCTACTTGAGAATTATTGACCCTTCATACTGAGGTGCAGTATGGATCTGTTTGGCACTGGAGTGTTGTCTCAGTGCTCTCTAATCCTTAGGCTCTTCTCAGTGACCTGTCAGTGCTCCCTGATCCTTGGGACCTTCTCTGAGCCATCAGGTGCTGCAATAAGCAGCAACCTCATGGCGAGGAGAGTGAAGCTCCCTGGTGTCTTGGGGGACACACTGATGTCCCTGCTGACATGAGATGTCCCCAGGGAGATGGAGCCCATCTGGGTCTCCCTTACAAGCTGCTGTGGCAGTGCATCTCCATTGCTATCACAGTTTGCTGAGCACAGTAAAAGCTATTGAATCACTTCGTTAATGATTCTGGGGATGGTTTGAAGCGTTATTGCTTTTGGATACCAATGTCACGCCTTTAAATATTCATTACAACTGCATGATCCCCTCCCTCCCATTAAGTCTTGAATAATCAATGCTCTGGTTTCTTCATACTTCACAAGCCAGGGCTGGATCCTGCCCACTCCTCCTTGCCAGGTGTGAATCCTCTGCTCTTAACAGTGATCTCCATTAGTACCTTTGTTAAGATCTTGGTGGAGGGTTGAGAAATGCTTCCTCTGGCTGCCTGCAATGGCCTTTTGGCATTTAGTGTGGAAGAGGGAGAGGGGTTCAGGCCACTGCATGTCCGTGCAGGGTGGGATGAGCCCTGACAAGATGCTTTATTAATTATGAATGACGAGGGCTGGGGGCCTGGCAGCAGGCAGGGCTTGGCTCCAGGCAGGGCTGGCAGCAGGCAAAGCTTGGCTTCTGCTCCCTTTCCACTAATTCAGGGACAGAGATGGCAAATTCTTGGTTCCTGTTGAAATTGTTTGGAAGGGTAGGGAGAGGACCCAGGAGAAGGAGAGCAGACATTCTTCTGTCCGGGAAAGGAGCCATTTGCCCCAAGACATGCACCAGCAGCTGCCTGAGGGCACTCTGCCTGAGAGCACTGGTATGGACACTGGGTCCAGGGTAGCAGAGGAGCATCTCCTTGGAGCAATGTCCATGTTAGGACCTTGGTGGCGTTCAGACCATTTCTTTTTAACTCCATGGGTTTCCAGACCATGGGTTTCTGCTTCCACGACCTGGACCATTTTGCCACTACAGCTCCACTCTGCTGCTCCTTCTGCACCAAAAGGAGTAGGGTGAGACCTGAAAGGGACAGAGCAATGCCTGGGAAAAGCCAGGAGCAGCAGGAACAGCAGAAGGGCATCCAAGTCTTGCAGCGAGGGATGCCATGGAACAGGGACAGCTCAGCACAGCAGAAGTGGGAGCCATTCCAGAGAGCCTGCTCCCCAGAGAGTTTAAACAAGTTAAACAGGGGCTGGAGCTTTGCTCTGGTGGTGTTTAGTGGGGCAGCAAAGAGGAGGGACAGCGGAGGGGAGCGGGGACCCGAGGAACCTGCGGGGCCGTGGCACTGAACAGCACCACTGGCGCGGAGCCAGCGGCCGCAGCTGCACGTTCGTTACCCCGAGTCACACGCGACACCGCTCCAATTACTCCCTCTTGACACGGGCTAATAAGGGGGGATAAGGAGAGCCGGCGCTTCCAGGAGGGTTATGCCGGATGCTTCTTTCCATATTTAAACTTTGTTTCTGCTGGAACAAATGGTGGGGTTGAGATTTGATGGAGCAAGGGGGAGGCGGAGGCAGAGAGCCAAGTGGGACCTTTAATGAAGCTGCAGCAAGGAGCTGGAAGGTGGCTGTGCCCTTCCTTGGCATCATGGGTTTGCACCTGCGAGGGCTGCGGGTGCAGCTCGTGAGCCCAGATGAAAGCAGGGAGGTGCACAGCCACTTGCAAAATAATTGCTCCCACAAAACCATGCCAGCACAAAGCAGGGGGTGGGAGGATGAGGGAAATCAAGTCTCTAATGTTCTCACTGCACGCCACAAAGGGACCATTCACTGCAGGGAAGAGGGATTTTCCCCCTGTTTATCCTTGCTCTCAACTTTTATTGAACCTGTGTCCTGAATTTTATTTTAAACTATAGGTCTAGAGGAGGAAAAACACAGGGGGGAAGTAAAAGGACAAGAGGTTGATTGGCACCTGGGAAGTTTAGTGGGAGGTTCTGGAAATATGTGTCCATTTGATTGCTGAGATAAGGTCCATTAGTAGACCAGAGTGCCAGCTGCAGTGGCCTGACAATAAACTCTGTTGGCAGTCACCAACGTAAGTGCCATGCTCCACTTCCCTATGATTATTAAAAATGAAGGGGGGGACTCCTTTGAGGGGGATGGGCTCTGTGATAAATTTCTGTGTCTTCCTGCTTGCAGGACTTCCAACATGCATGACTTCACTCACACACACAAACCCCTTTCACTGCAGTTGGGCCATGTTGCAGCAGCAGCAGCAGTGCTCTTCTCTTGCCTACGTGCAGCTGGGGAAGAGCTTTATCCCCCTGAACTGCTACAGCAAACCCTGAGGGCTGTTTTGGCCACGAACCACAAGGCTCAGCTCTTGCATCCTGCCTCCAGCCTGGCCACTCCTCAACACGTTTGCTGGACCAGTTTGCTCCCTTCTCCCATCTCTACATTTCTGATGGTTGCAGAGCCCCCCAGCCCTATGCTTGGAAAATGCTGGTGAGTGGCACTGAGCGGGTCTCCCTGGATAATCTTGCTTTTGTTGTAAAAATTTAACAGCAGCCATTGGTTATGTGATATTAGTCAGTGAATTTATTATGGGCCTGTGCCTCGTATCTGTTTGTCTTCATTGTGGCTGCTGCTGGTTCCACCTGATTTTAGGTTTCAGCATGGAGTATATTTATCACTTTGCCCTTTGAAGCAGAACTGCTTGAATAATCTCACCTCTTTGGCTGTGTCTGTCAGGCCCTGTTTTCTGTAGGCTGATATGCTGGTTTATTCTGATAAATGCTTTTAAATCTAATCTGAGCTGCTGGAAGGGGGAAATCACTTTCTGTTTAAGAATGTTGTTGTCAAAGGTGAAAACATTTGGTGACAAGGTGAGCAGCAGCTACAGGCATGGTGGAGTCTCCTGCCAGAGCTTGGCAGGACCCCAACGGTCCCAGGCTGCAGATCTGGGGTAAAAAAGGTTCCCCAGTCTCTTGGTGCCAAGAGATTTGCAGCAAATCTGATATTTACTGAGGAGAGAACTCCCTGACAGGTTGCTGTACCACATCCATACATTTCTTTCCATTTGGAGCAGTTTGCTGATGCTATACAGGTCCTTTGGGCAAAGCCAGGGTGTTGATCTCACTCTACCATTGATGAAACAGCACATCTTCCCAATTTCATCATTGGGGTTGCTTTCAGTGGAAGACTGGGGAGAGGTAAGGGGGCTTAAACCTTGCTGCTCTTTGTCTGAACCCTGCAGGACTCACCTCAGCTCTCCATCAGTTCTGAGCTGGCCTTCAGATGCCTTCTATGAAGCTGTGGCTGCCAGGATGGGCAACCAAATAGCACTGATTACAGACACACCATCCAAACCAGTTATCTGCTACCTATGCTGTGGCTTGGCCAAGTATCCCATGTTCCCAGTCAGACAAGGCTTACTTGCAAGGTTGCTCTCTGTAGCAGGATAAAGAGGGGTCATCATGACTTTTCTCACCCTCCTTTTCCTTCCTCCTCACAGCCCCTGCAGAGTTTGTGCAGCATCCCCAGTCCATTTCCAGGCCAGTGGGGACCACTGCCATCTTCACATGTGTGGCCCAAGGGGAACCCCCTCCCCAGATCACTTGGCTGAGGAATGGGCAGATCCTGGAGACCAGCGACCACATCAAGCTGAAGAATAACAACAGGTAAGTCCTGCTGGCAATGCAGTGCAAAGGGATGTTGGATTGCTTTCTGCATAGCAAAGAGATTATCTGATCTGTGGCTTCAGTTTGGGCTTTGATACAGTAAAGCACTGCTCCTGCTACCTGCATCTTGTAGGCTCATATTTCAGTGCTCTGTGGTTTTTTTGTGCCAGGACATCAGCATTAGACTTTGACTGTTGATACATGAACCTAGTAAAAGTTATTCTTTTGTCCTGGTCATCATCTGGGTATTTCTGGAAGGACTAAATGTTGTCCCTGGAGCTGACAGGAACCACACTCACTCTGCACTGTGTTTAACCCCTGAACATTGACCTGCCTGGGTGTGCAAATGCAAATACATTAGAAATAATATTTGCACGGAACCTGACTTTCACTAAACTTCAGCCTTTTATCTCACCAGGGAAGAGTGTTTTCTCTGAGTACTAAATAACTGCATTTTCCTGTGAGGGGATGGGGATGTTTGTACTGAGGAAATGATACAGTGGGATGCACTTAGTGGGAAAATTACAAGTCGACGATGTAGTTTCTATGGAAATAGCGTGGAACAATGTACTACAAAATAATAGCACCTGTGTTGTAAACCTGAATTATTGGTAGAGGTTTGTACTCTGTGGTGTCATATAGCTGCTCTCTATATTAACAAATGTGTCTCATGAAAGCAGCTACCCAACCTCGCTGGAGGTCAGTTTAGACAGTTGGGAAGTGCTGTGCAGGCACCATGACTTGTTCCTCCGGGAGAAGAGTGAGTTTATTTTTCGAAGTTTCTATATAATATGGCTTTTTGTTTTCAGGTTTGAGGGGTCTTTAAAGCTTTGTTATATGAAGGATGGAAGAAGGATAAGGTGTGAGTTATGATAAAATCTCTGTCAGTGGAGGTTTTCTCTGAGCTGGGAGTTTTTTGAGCTTCAGGGAGCTTTGTGTGTGCACATACAGATGCCACTCACAGCAGGCTTGTGATCTTCTAGTTCATTACTTGGGTTTCTGAGGCATGTCTGCCCTTGTGATACGTACAGAGCGGAGATGGGAGAAGGGAAATTAGTGCATCCCCTTTTATTGATGAGGAAGCAGAGTCAGAAGTGACCAAAGATTCCCAAGCGGTCATTAAATCCATGACAAAACTGACACTGCATCCAGCTCTGCGTCGTACCCAGATGGCTTGCTTGTGAAATCATTCCTTTTCACTGTTGGAGGGAAGTAGAAGTCGGATCTTTGGTCATGGTTCTGTCTTCTGGCCAGGTCTCTGTGCCTGGAGCTGCTCTACATGTGCGTGTGAGCTGCGACTTGGTGAATGTCACTGGAACCGATTTCTTATGGGAATCATTTAATGCAATTTAGCATCAGTCTTTTCCACAGCGATCTAAATGATCAGATTACAGCATCTGGCACAGGCTGAGGGAGCTCAGCCCGTTCCTGGGGCTCAGCTGACACGTGGCATCTTCTCAAGCCATAGTAACAGGATTGTAAAGCTGAGCCCTAAGGCTGCTGTACTCGACAGTGTTGAACTTTTGTCTTCTTTCACACTAGTCTTGGTCTACTCCAACCCCCAGCCTCAGGCAAGTGGCCATGCCTGGTATTTCCAAAGCTGTCAGTCTGGAAAATGCCCTCGCTGGTGCAGCAGGTCTGGGAGCTCCATGAATTGGAGGAGACACATCAATGGATTGGGGGGGTGGTGTTTTTGAGCTTTTTCAAGTTGTCCTTTGTTTCACTCTCATGGGCATGACAAAGTGCTGTAACTCACTCAGTTCCAGGCAGAATCAGTTTGTGGTTATGCCTTGGATTTGTCAGTCTATTGCACTTGGAAAATATATGTCTGTGTAAAGATGGATCTCGAATCCACTAGTAATGAAGCTACTAAACTGCACTATGAGCTTTTTAATTAGATTACATGGTTTCCTAGAAAATTCATTTGGATTAAAACTCTGCTTAATATTGCCATAGAGGTCTGAATGCCCCCGAAGGGATCTTTAGGAAAAAAAAGGAAGAGTGAATCATCCCAAAACATATCATGTGCTAATTGATTGCAAAATGTGTCTTTAGGAGCAACTTCATTTTTGTAAATTAACACAACCAGAAGTGAGATCCAGACCTGCAGAAGATGGTGCATTTGAGATGCTGCATTGCTTCTGCAGCTTTAGGCCTACTCCTGTGTGCAGCAGCATGACTGCACAAACCCACAGCTGATGGATCCCTCGGACTGTTGCTTCCCAAAGTTGGGAAGGGCCCTTGGGCATCTCCCTCACCCACACGTGCAGTAGCTCCAAACCCAACCACCGCAAACCCACAAGGTGAGGGGGCTCCAGAAGCCCATCATTGCTGGGATGGGACAGCAGCTTCAGGACAGGGTTGACTGGAAATTGGATGTGGCTGCTGATGCAACACCAGAGAGTCACTTGCTAAGTGATTTCCAGCCTTATAGCACAGTAAAATCAGCCTCACAGGCTGTGTCCGATAAATACCTCCTCCCTCGTGGTCCCTCAGATGTGAATTCCCATCACCTGATGTGTTGACGGTTTCTGGGCACATTAGCATTAAAGATCAGCCTTCTGCTGCGCCCTCTCCAGAGGTGGTTGTTATGTTTTGAAAATGCCAGCTGTGTGGGAACAAAATAGCCAATCGATGATTAGCAAAAAATCAAAAGCAGTTCTGGGATAGCGGATAATTGTTAATGAAAAATGCATGAAGGCTCAGGCGTGGGGGATTGTGGGGTTTTCCATTAAAAGCTGTGAATAAAAATGACTGAAGGAGCTGACAGTGGGGCTGCCTTGCCACACTGGGGATGGAGCTGATAGCTGTGGGCTGATGCTGCACTGAACCAAGCTCTCAGATGGAGAAGCTCATGGAGCTTTTTGGACTTTGGTGGAGCCGTCCCTGTGTCCAGGGTCTATCCCTGTCTGGAGATCTGAGATGCCTGTATAGCTCCTGGAGTGATTTGGGTTGATCACAGTCCACATGCCTGAGCAAAATTCCCACCTGGCATCACCAGCCATCCCAAAAGCAGGAGTATCACTGCAGGAGGAAAGGGTGGTTACTGGCCAAGCTAACCATGGGCATGTTTAAAAATCATGCTTCTATGTTATTACTTCAAAATTTACAAGGAAGCATGAAATAGTCCCTGGATCATCACTCTGAAAGGTTTATTGCTTTTCTACCTTTGACCCAATGAGGTTTGGGGAGGTAATTTTCAGCCCAGAAGTATATCACACTATAGGGTTTATGTTGCCATAATAGCAAGGAACAAAGGCCAACATCTTCAGAGGAGGTGGGCTCTAAATATTGATTTTTCAAGAAGATTTTATTTACAAAATGGTAATTAAGGGGGACTTCATTTGTTCCACCAGAAAAAGGCTTTGTTAGCATCCAGGCTCAGGTGGCGTTTGCTCTCCTTGGTGACCTTTGCTGGTGAACTGTCTCCTTTTTAAATTCCTCCTCACTGGTCTGCACTTGGTTTAGTGCTCTAGGAATGTCTCACTTCAAGGGCTGTGAATGTTCAAGGTTCATCAGGGAAAATATTCCTTCTTAAATGAACTTAAGGATAACTTTGCTCTTCTTGAACTCGTCATACTGCTTAATCTCAGCAGTGATACAGAGAGGGGCCTTCAAGCACAAACATCCAAGCACTTGGGACCAGACAACCTTTTTGGTAGCAAACTCAGGGAAACCAGAGCCTGTCCTTCACAGAGTGGCTTTTTTCTGTAAAACCCACATTAGCTGGGTGCAGAGAGATGCAGATGGGTTTGTACATCCCTTTGTGGTGCACACACCCCACAAACTCTTGGATTTGTAGGGATTTGGAACCCCTTAAGGGAGGACAGAGCAGCCTGCAGGTTCTTTATGCCGTGCGTTTGAAAGCTGTTGTGGTTGTGGGAAGGGTACCATATAGCAAATCATATTTCAGTTCCCATGACAAATAAGTATGTGGAGGACTGGGATGTGAACCAGCTGCTCCTTATTTAAGAATAATTTATGGGTTTGACTTTGGAAGACATGTGGAAATGGCCTTTGCAAGGAGTCTCTGCATGAGCATCCAAAGCCTCGCTAAGCAATAGGGCATCAGTGTGATCCTGAGGTGTTTTGTGCTTCCCCATGGTCCTGCAGAGGACTTTTCTGTTCCCTCCCTGGGAAAGGATTCAGTTAAGTCTGAGATTGCACTCTCTGGCTCATGAAAACAGAGTGAGTGGCTGGGACCAGCAACATCCCTCCAGAAGCTGTGCTTGGGTGAGTCTGTACCCGCAGAATCGGGCTGTGATCCTGGCCAGGGGGCTGCAGTACCTACTGAATATAAACCAGTTGGAAAGGGTTCCTTCTCCTGCATAACCTGACCCAATTTCACCTAGGATGCCCTCCATGATATTTAATTTCTGGATGTGTAAGGACATGCTTCTGAAGGACTGGCGGTGATATACAGTGTCCCTCTGAGCTGCTGAGTGTCACTCTTCAAGGTTTGCACCTTATTCTCAACCTGTATGAGGGAATCTTCAGAATACAGGGCATTTCTGCAAAGCTGCCAAGAGCCAGCACAGCGGAGGGCAAAGGCTCCTTTCCCCCCAGCTGGCAGCCCAGGGACGGATCATCTGGTGCACTGCGGTACAACACAGTCCATAACAAACAGAGCAGAGATGGGGCATCCCAGTGTGGCACTGGTGGCTTTCTGTAGGTGCTGGCACTTAAACCACTGTCCCTGCTGGCCACAGCCTGCGCTCTGCATTAATTTCACCACACTCCCTCCTTTGTGCCTGTGCGCGCACAGGCCGATGCCCTTCCAGATGGGCCCCTCTTCTTTGTGCTGCTGAATCGATGGAGAGGCTTCCTTCAGCTCACAGACTTTTTCATGGGAGCCTTTGGAAAGCCAATCTCCGGTCACCGGCCTGGACCCCTGACCCAAGCCAGATCAGTCATCCTGATTGCCTATGAGCTGGGAAGACAGCTTGGGAATACCGCGGCTTTCGAGCAGCGGAGGCTTCTCGTTTCAGCTCAGCCGGGTGTGAATCTGCAGCGGCTCCTCTCCCCACTTCCATCAATGCCTGTCAGGGCATTGTGAAGGGATGTGATGGAGCCCTGGGCTCGCAGAGCAGCTCTGGTGACCAGCAGAAAGCCTTCTGGCATCTCGCCTCGTCTGACGTGCTCACGGCGCTGCCAGTCTGGCACTCGCGGGAAAGTTTTCCCGCAGCAGATGTCCCAGAGTGACAGATCTTTTTTCCTGTTGACGGGAAGAAATAAAAGGACACTGCATATTTCAGATGGTTGACTCACAGAGACGCTCTGCACCTCCTCATGCGGCAACTACATATTTTCCTTTTGTTTGAGCTTCCTTAAAAAAAAAAAAAAAAAAAAAGAAAAAGACAAAAAGCAGCGAAACCTGGTACTGAGCACTGGCCCTGCTGCTCCTCATCCTCCACATCCTGGGAGGTGATGTGGTGGGTCAAAGCAGGGAGAATTTGGCTGTAGCTGAGGTGGAAATGGATGCACGGATATCAGCTGGGATGATGCTGGGGTTCATGTAACTCACTGCCAGCCCCTGCCCTCCTCAGGGCAGCTGCCAGTTTCCGAGGTCACGCCTAGGCTTGCAGGAAGCCTCCTTTGGAAGTCTGCCCATGGGTGTCAGAGGGTCCCACAGAGAGAGAAAACCCTTTTTCTTACAAAGATGATGTTTAGATACTGGGCATTCTGCTCACCAACTTCTCCACACTCGCATAGCCAAAAATCCAGCTGTGTTACTGCCCCCTTGCCTGCACATCATTGCAGGTAATGTGGGCTCCAGGTGGCCAAGACTCTCATTTCACAGCTCATCCAAACACAGCTGAGTAAATCTCAATGAAAATGACCTTTTTGAAGCCTGAAGCAAGTTTCCAGCTACCTGCCATGTCAGCTTTGCATAGAATGTTTTATTTATTCCTTCTGACTCAACTGTGCATGACAGAGGCTCTGCTCAGCTCTGGGTCCCAGTGGCCAAGTGCCATCCTTCCCAGGACCACTGGCATCCTGCACATCAGCTGTGTCATGTGTGAAGAGCTTTGCTCACTCCCCAATCCTCCCAGGAGAGAGAAATCTTTGGCCTCAGAATCACAACGTTGTCATCAGGTTCCTTGCACTGCTTTCCAGCCTCTTCCCTCCTCTGCATCTTTTCCTGTGCCCACGTAAAAGAAATAAATACACTTGGAGGCAGCAGAGCCTAAATACTCCTTATTCCAGGGCTGCTTTGTGCCTGGGAAGCTGAGGGCTGCTCTTGAGTCATGTGCCAGCCCGACCTGGCCACTCCTGGGTGCCCAGATGCACAGCAGCCACATGGAAATAATCCCTGCACTGATGGGGCAGAGGGAAGTGCTGCTGCTCCTTCCACACATCTGCTTTGTGCAGGGCTGGGAGTGCAGCTCTGGGATGGCGTAATCCTGCCTTCTGCCATCTGTCCTCGCAGGAGTCAGCCCGTGTTGACACAGCTGAGCCACACATCGGGTCCTTCCTCCCTGCGCCCCCTCCCAGCTCTGCCTTTCTCCTTCCATTTAATCAGATACGTTGAGCCCGTGGCTATGAGAGGAGCTTAGGGCTGATTCTCGAAAATCACCATATCAGCTGAAACCATCACATTTGATATTCCATTTACAATGTTTCCAAGGAAACAAAGGCACAGGACATAAATAGATGACTGTTAAACATTTGCTCACTCACCATGGCCCTCGATAATTTGCAAGGCAGAAATAGGAATATTAAATCAACAGCAATAATAAATTTTAATACAGGAAGGCCAATATTTTGCTGCAATTAGAAGAAGCATTTGTTCTGACGTACAGGCAGGCAGTGGCAGGTTATTTATCATCTCCACTTCCAATGTTCAGTTTTTCATTTACATAAAAGGCAACTTTGATTATGATTCCCAAAAAGCCATGAAGTACTCCTTACATCAGCAGGAATGCTTGGGATTTACTTCTGTGCAGTCAAGTCCCACGTCCACCTGGAATTCACTGCAGGAGAGAAGAAAGTAATTTATTTCTCCCTAGAAGCAAGCAGTGGGTGTGGATTTGGTTAGTTTTGGGTCATTTCTTACAGAAAAATAGCAAAAAGCTCATGTGAGCTTTGGCCTAAGCCAAGAAGATAATGCTGGAGCTTGGAGGCCTCATGGTCTCCAAAGCATTCATGTGGAGCCAGAAGTAAACCACAATGCAAAGGAATTGGACAGGACTGGAAATATGGATGCAGAAACAGGGATTAATCCAGAGTGGGGCACATATGGGTGACTTAAGGGCGTTGTAAGCATATTTTATTACAACCTGAGCTGTTGCCTCGGGGTTGGGTAAAAACATCTTCAATGTCAAAGGCTGCCTTTCCGGTTCCAGCTCGGAGCTGGAGACGGTGTGACAATCCCCACCCCGTGTCTTGGAAGGGAGAGACACTGGGTATTTATTTATTTATTTATTTAAGTGGCCTTGTGTCTGATAGATAGTTGCAGGTCTTAGACTCATAGAATCATTAAGGTTGGAAGAGACCTCCAGGACTGGATCACGTTGTTCCTGGCTTAGTTCTGAGCAGAGCTTTCACTGATAGATCCCTGTTTGTGAACAGATGTTATTAAGAAAAGCTGCTTTGCACGTTCAGTGACAAGACAGAGCTAATCTGTCACACAGCTATTTCTGAGTCAGTATTTGCTGGTGGTGCAACCCTTGAGCTGGTCTTGAACTTGCTCTGGTTTTCCACAGCCATTGCTAGAGGGTCACACAGTGCAGGAAGGGCCTCCAGCTCATGCGGCCACGTGTACAAGGACTCTGGTTGTCCCTGTGCCCATCAAGCCACTAAACACCTCTCCTGGAGGTGGTGCACAGGTGGGCACCATGCTCAGGAATGCCCTTGTTTGGGAGGCTGGTAAACGACTGGTTTTCCCCCTTCCTTTAGGAATGTTTTCCACCAGTGTAGCCAGTGCCTGTTTTTACCTTGGACAGTGAAAACAGCATCTAAGCCTGATGTGGAGGCACCCAAAAGCAGGCTGGCAGAACTGTTCTGGTTGTTTCACTGGGAGGGAGCAAGCTTTGATGCGCCAGCATCAAAAACATGCTCAGAGGCCTTGCAGACAAAACCTGTGATTTTCTGGTAAGCTTTGGGTTTTGGCTCGTGGTGATGGTGTTTCTGGAAGTGCAGAAGCCAGAGCTGAGTCTGTAACCCTGTTGGATAAGTCAGCTAATCCCAGTGTTACCCTAAGACAGCTCTAATGTGCTATAATGCAATTAGAGCATCACCAGAGGGCTTTCTGGCTGCATTTGATTAAACTTGGCTTAGGAACCATGTACAGTGCCTGGATGGGTCTCACTGGTGTGTACTGGAACTAAGCCAGTTAAAGCTGATTTGAGTGTGTGGATGCACTTCCCAGAATCTCAGAATGTTCTGAGTTGGAAGGGACCCACGAGGATCTTCAAGTACAACTCTGAAGTGAATGGCCCATACAGGGATTGAACCCACAACCTTGGCATTATTAGCAGCAGGCTGTAACCAACTGAGCTAATCTCAGAGTCACTTGCCAGAGAACTGTCTCTGTGGTGTGGCTGGGATCCTCCTGAATCCAGGGCTTCAGATCCTGCTGTTTCCATCTCACCCTGTGGGATATCCACATCTGGCTGTACTTGAACTGCAGTATCTGCAGGTTGATACAATCTGCTCAGTCATGGGTTCCAGGGAATGACACATCCACCTCCTGGGCTTTTCCTTCCCCAGAATAACCAGCCCACAGCTTCCTGGTAGCTTTCTGTGGAAGCAGAGGCTGGGGGGTGCCCTGCCATCGGAGCCAGCGTGGAGGCCGTGGCGTGGCTGCAGGGATGTGCTGCAGAGCAGTCAGTGAGATGCTTGTCCCTCTCGTGTCCCCCCACAGCACTCTGTCCATCTACGGGATCAACCAGACGGACGAGGCCATCTACCAGTGCCTGGCGGAGAACAGCGCGGGCTCCACGCAGGCCAGCGCCCGCCTCACCGTGCTCTGGGCCGACGGGCTGCCCAGCCCCCCACAGGCCGTCAGGGCCGAGACCGTCTCTGCCACCACCATCCAGGTGTCCTGGGAGAAGCCCCTGCAGAACACCAAGGAGATCATCGGCTACGTGCTGCACATTCGGAAAGCTGCAGGTACAGGGCTGCACCCGCTGCCCAGAGCGTCCCCAGCCTTCCCTTGATTTACCCACTAGGTAAAACCAGGGAGTCTGTGCTGCTATCCGTGTCCTCCATCACCTCCCTGTTTCTGAAGGATGGAGATGAGGCTGTAGCGCTTCTGTAAATACCAAAAACATGGAGAGGGTGAAGCTGTGTAGTCAAATCTTGCTGTCCATGTAGGTCTCTGGCAAAACACACAGAAATCATAGAATCAGGGAATCATAGAATGGTTTGGAAGGGACTTAAAAGGTCATCCAGTTCCAACACCCTGCCATGGGCAGGGACACCTTCCACTGGACCAGGTTGATCCAAGCCCCATCCAACCCAGACTTGAAATGTAAGCAGAAAAGCGTGTGGGCAGGTGCATGTCCCCCCAGGGACCACAATTACCACTTGTGAGATCTGTTCAGTCTCTTCACCTCTGGCAAAGCCTGACGCCGCTCTGTTCTCTGTCCCTTTGCCTTTCAGATCCCGTCGAGATGGAGTACCAGGAGGCTGTTAGCAAGAGCACCTTCCAGCAGCTGGTGACTGATTTGGAGCCCTCGACCAGCTACAGCTTTTATATAAAGGCTTACACCTCCCGGGGTGCCAGCAAAGCCTCAGAAGTCACGGTGGTGAGCACGCTGGGGGAAGGTAAGGAACGCTTTGCGCTTGGACCATCAGACGCTGACACCTGCTGTGTGTAACCGCGGCGCCGGGCACCCGACACCACCCCGGAGCGCTTTGGCACACAGCCTGGGGTGGCGAAGCTCCTTGTTTCCACTCCTCCTCACGCTCTGGGATACTGTGTAAAACTCACTTGTATCGTTGCAGGGGGGTTGACTGATTAAAGCGCAGCATCGCCTCTCACAGCTGATGTTGTAGCAGGGGGTGAGTGCAAACCTGCCTGGTCTCTGCATTGCAGCTGCTCTGGGCTGTTCCTAAACTCCTTGCTAAATGCAGATTTCCTGCTCAAGCAGCATCTTCCAGCAGTTCTGGTACTCACAGCTCTTACTTGATAGGCGACACTTTTTAAGATTTGATTATTTTTCACTCTACTCTGAACAATTCACACTAGAGCTGAGCTGTCCTGACCTACAAACACCTGCCTTGTAACAGCCTTCTGTTTCAGTGGGACATTAGGGTGACCTTCAAGGCCTTTTTGCTGACTTGGCCACCAGTTAGCTTCCCCAGTAAGAAAGTGGGTGCTCTAATGCAGGACTCTTGCACACAGAAACCACAGCCCCAGTGTGATCTGTCAGCTGGCATTTTAGGAACGTTTTCCTAGAGGCTCATCTGCCTCTCCAGCCCCTCTGAATCCTGGCTTGTCTCACATATGGAGACTAATTTCTTAAGAACATCATTCTCATGAGTGCTCAGGAATTATGACTTTGCAGTGCAGAGGGCCTTGGGTGTGAGGATGTTATTTAGGATTAAATGAAGGAGCGTGTTGACTTCCAGGTGGGGGATCCAGTTCTCATTCTGCTCTGAGCCCTTGCAGATATTTATTACAGAATTTAAGCAACACCACCAATAAATCCTCGCCCTGCTGGGTTGTTGCCCTGCAAGTTTATTTTCCTTGGTACTCTGCAGGGAGTCAGTCACCCTTGGAGTTTGTTTTTCCTTCCAATTTAAAGGCAGAAGGATGGACTAAGGCAAAGCTTGAAACTCCTTGACCCGGGGCTCTGAGCTCAGTCACAGGAGCTACAAGCCAGCCATGCTCCATAGAACTTGGTGGCTCTGCAGAAGTCTGGGTCAAGGGAGAAAGGCGTTTTTGTCATTATTACCTTCAATCACAAGAGAAATAGTTAGGGATCTGGTAATGGGATCATAAATTTCCTGGCTCTCTGAACTTTCAAGGCATGACTGTCCTGCTTTGCTATCCTTTAAAAAGGGCTTGTCCTGTGTAATGAAGCTTCAGCAATTAGCTCTCTGATCAGGAGAGACAAGCTGGCTTGGTTCAGATCACTCAACCCCACCCTATGTTTGACTTGTAGGAAGATAAAGAGATTTAAATGCCCCAGTTGGCTTCATTTGCTCACATTTCTTCACTTGGGTACCTGTTGCCTTCTGCTCACAGAGGAGAGAGTCAATCAGAGAGCCAGGATTTGGGGGCTTTTGTCACCAGGTTAAGGTTTTGCTGCAGGTTTTGTCTCTTCTCACAGCCAGGATGTTTCACCCTGTGCCTTCCCAAGGTGCACAGGCAAGCTGTGACCCTGCTGGGCTCGAGGAGCCCCTGGATCTGTGGTGACACCCTCAGAAAGGGATGAGTTTTCCAAGATACACCATATCTGGCAGCCAGGGGCAGCTCAGTGGAGCCTGGATAGCACTTGTTGGAGTGGCCAGCAGAGGTGCTGCCAGCTGGAGACTGGTTTGAGTGACTGTGTTCAACTGGTATTGTCTGGAGTAGGAATATGAAATCTTCCTGAGAAATACTGAGGAACAGGGCTGCTTTTGGCTTGGGGCCATCAGCTTTTCAGGGGTAGCAGTACGCTGAGAGCACGCTTGGCTGAAGCCTCCAATGCTTTCTAGATGCTCTTTCCTGTGTGCCAGTGCTAATTCTGGATGGAAAGTAGAAGGGATGACGCTGTAGAGAAACAACCCAAGTGAACCTTGTCCTCCAGAGACCTCACTCACTGGGAAGGTCCTCCTGCCTCCTCCCTGTCGTTCTCCTTTACGCCGTTTCACAAATGCCGTGGTATTTTAAACCTCAAACGCTCTCTGCTTCATTAAGCAGCACACACTCCTTGTTCTTGTCTTTTAATGCTTTTTAGGGTTTTCTCCAGGACTTTTTGACATTTCTCTAGGATGAAGACTGTTCCTTTAGTCATCTTCGGCTAAAGACGCCTTCAAGAAGAAAGTTGAAATGACCTGGGGAAAATTCCAAACAGCACGGAAGAGGAAAACAAGTATCCCAGCCCTTAGCATGAGGGAGATGCCTCACTTATAGTAGCTCCATATTATGTCTTATATATACTTCTGTGAAGCACCTATCTGCTGGTGTGTGTACCTATATTTACACACACACAGATATACTCCATTGTATACACTTATTTGTGTAATCACATTATAAACAGCACGTGCATTCTGCGAGTGCATCTACCTATAATCAGTATTATACATATATATATATATACTCAAAGTTTGAATAAATACAATATATTTCATACTTTGAAGGAGAGGTATTCTTGTGGTTTTTATTAAATGTAAGGCTCTGCAACCATAAAATAAAGCCAACTCTTCGCAAATCAGGATGGCCCACATCAGTGTTTCTTTGTCCATTGGATAATATGATAATTTCCCTTTCTGTGGTGTTTTCACCCGTGGTTTGGAAAATGATGCTTTAAGCAAGAGTCCAACTTCTCAGAGCGGGGGTTTTGCCCTAGAGGGAATTGGGAGAGCGAGAAAAAAGGAGCATTTAATTGGATTGCAAAAATACTCAGCCTCGGGAGGAATGGTATGTTCTGGTATAAATAGAATTTACTCTGTGTTTTGCACCCAGGAATTGCTAAGTTCAGCCTTCCCAGCAATGAAATGGACATCAGAATAAATCCTAGCAAGAAGAAGTACTTCAGCCCATTTTTTTTCCCATTGACAGCTCTCAGGCAGGATGGGATCTCATTAACCTGACCCAGTATACTGGGTCTTTCCTCCAGAGTCCACGTGGAGATGCTCAGCAGTCAGCAGGGACTTTTTTATCTCCGTGTGCTTATTTGGAGGGCATCAGGCAAAGCCCCTGCAGCCTGAAGTGGGGCATCACTTTGGGAAGAGAGAGGGTTGTGCAGATCCTCCTGCTCACCTGGAGAGATGTCCTTCCTTCCTCTAAATCTCCTCGTGGAAAAACTTGAGCTCTCAGTGCCTGGGAAAAGGCAGATGGTTGTGCTGTGCAGTTTTACTTTTACCAGTAAATTGAGGAAATGCCCTTTTTAGCTCTCATCAGTCTCAGATTGACACGGCCACATTCCATCCGCTCTTCACCATCGCTCACTAATGGTTGTGCTGAACTCTCTGCCAAGGGCTGGGTTTCCTTGTCCTTAGAGACCATTTGGGGAAAATCAAGCCAGAAAGCAGCTTCAGTCCAGTGCAGTCCCAGCAATCCTTACATTTGGGAACTGCTGAGCTTGTAATCATGTGGGATTGGAAAAATAGCTCTACCTCAAAGCCTGGAGGCTGCTGGAGAAGCAGGGCTGTTCTGCTGGATAGTTCTGCTGTGGGATGTAGCCAAGCTCACTGCCTGGTGCACAAAAACCCTTTTCCGTGCTGGTGCTGGAGCAGAGCCCTGGGCAGGGCAGAGCCTGCAGCACCTGGTGCTTTGCACCTTCTGGGTGGTGCCAGAGGCTGGGGAGGTGATGGGAGCATTTGGCCTGGGAGTGATTTGTGGAAATGAGGGTAAAAAATCATCGGTGAAATGTCCAAAATGTCCTGCTGAGACACATCTCGGTGTTGGTGAGATCAGTGTAGGAGAAATGGAGGGTGGGGGAAGTGTGGGTCTGTGCCCTAGTGCTGCAGAGGGCTCAGGGCAGGGCTTGGTGCAGAACCAGCTTTGGAAAACCCAGATATATCTGCATCCCGAGGAAACTGGCTTTGGTTTGCAAACCTTTGCCTCTCAGCCCAGGCTGATGGGGTGGGGCTGGGCAGCTTTCTGGGGACCTGGGGAAGGAATGGCCTGCCCCCCTCTACAGCACACCCCAAGAACCAGGGCAGGGTTTTGGGGTATTAAGCAGAGCAAAAGGTGTCCTGGTGGACTTTGAATCAGGTGCAGCAGCAGGGACATCTTCTCAGCTAACCCCCCGTGCACCCCTAAGGCCAGGTAAGTGCCTGCCTCCCAAAACAAGCCATCCCCAGCTGCGCAGGGATCTCAGGCTGCTCAGGTGTTTAGGGCTGTTGATGAAGATGACCCTGTTCTCTCTTGAATCCCCAGCACAGAATCACAAACCTCTGTCCTAAAGCCGATGGGGAGAGCAAGCCCCCTGCACCCTGCAAGCCAGTGCAGGTACCTGGCACGCTTATAAGATGGATGTCTCCAGCTCCATCCCTTCTGGTTCCTTCCTCCCTGGGGGATTAATCACTGTGAAAGGTTCTTGCCTCAGGGTGAGGGCAAAAAAGTGGAATTTGAGAACACCTTGCCAAAGTTGCTGCATTCCTGCCTTGACCCGACTGGGCCGAGCATCAGATTGCAACTGAAGTGTAAAAGTAGCTTCTGTTTGCTGGTCTGAGCAGAGGAAACCCTTGGAAACTCCTTCAGCTCCCTGAAGAAGTTCAAAGCTGTTAAACCAGATTCTGGTGTGCTCTGATTTTTCTCAGTCTCAGCTGGCACATTCTTTGGTGCAGTGACCGCAGGGAAAGGCTGCTGGGGAATTTCTCATTATGCAGACTGAAAAGCACATGCAACCCACTGTCTTTCTCTCTCTGTTTCAGTCCCAGCCATGCCATCCCTCTTTATTAAAGTCATTAACAGCACAGCCGTGCAGGCAACGTGGGAGCCCTCCATCAAACTGGGCCAGCACGAAGGCTTCAAGCTGTACTACCGCAAGGTCCACCTGGCCCAGTACACAGGCCCAGTGCTACTGGCCAGCAACGTCACAGCCTACAACATTACCCACCTGGGTGAGTATGGTGACACCCTGCTCCGTGTTCCCTCCCCACCCTGGGAGGGTCGTCTGTCCTGATTAGCAGGAGAGAGCTGGCATGTGTTGCCCAGTCACTAAATGAGAAATGCAGGAGCTCTCCCCCAGGTTTTTGGAATGCTTTCCCACGAACAGGTAGTTCTTAGCAGCATCTTGTGTGTATTTGGTAAGATGTTCGTTTCCCAAACAAGCCTCACTCGTGATGACACCTGGACTGTCCTTGTGTCTCCCCCGGCAGACGCGTCGGTGGTGTACGAGGTCAAGCTCCTCGCCTACAACCAGCACGGGGATGGAGACTCCACTGTCCGCTTCGTGTCCCTGAGGGAAACTGTGGAGAGGACAGGTGAGGCAGGATGTGGGTCTTGGTGGTGGTTTGGGAAACTGCTCTGGAGGAAGGTGGTGAGGCCAGACACATCCCCCAGACCCCCGTGGCTCTCACCTTTAGCCACTCATTTATTTTCAGCATCACACATAGTGCTGAAGCAAAACCCTGCAGGGCTGGGACCACCTGGTGCTGGCCCTGGGGTGGCTTCCTGGCCATGTGGCTTGTACCATCCCCATTGGCCAGTCCAACCTGATGACTTTTGGGGATAAAACTAAGCCAATGTTCCTGTAATTGCCAGTTTTGTCCCCTAAGCTTGAGCCAGAGCTGAAGCCATGAACATGAACAAGCCCCCATGCATAGGCTAAGAGCTGCCATCCTCAGGTGAGATGTGATGCACAGAGCATCTCCACTCTCCTGGAGGTCTCCTGGATATTTTGACCTTCACTAGTCGAAAGGGAGGGCATGTGTCTTTGGAATGGGGAACGGCTGCAGAGCACAAGTCCTGCTTTATGTGGCAGCAGAGGGGAAACCTCTAGAGGGAATCTCTTAACTGATCACACCTTTCATATTCATCTATGTGTAAAAAACATCCTGCTGCTCTTGGAAGCCTTTTAAGCCTTCCAGTGGGAATATCTTCAAGAGATAGTTATAACTCCTCTGTCTGTATTGGAGTAAATACTAATCTCACTGGCATCTGCCTGCTCAGTGCTTTCCATCAGGTCTCAGCCTGCTCTGGCATGGTCACCACCTCTCACCTCCCACCTTGGGCACAGGGGATGGCAAAAATTAACATCAGAGTCTTTTCTGTTCATTAATTGTGTCTAATGACAGCAGCCAGGTAATGGGGCTGGCTCACTATGGAATTCCAGTCCTGTGCTTGCTCTGAGTGCCTTCTTGGAATGCCAGGAGCAGGGAAGCTCCTTCAGCAGGCAGTGACCCCCCTGCCAGCTCTGTGTCTTTATCTCCTCTTACCATACACACAGCCCAGGCTCCAGCTTTGGCTCTGGGCTCCCCAAAAGCTGGAGGAACAACAGGAGAGAAGCACCACTGACTCCCCAATCCCCCTTTTTTCTGGCAGTATTGAATCCCCCCTGTGACTGCATGAAGGACGAGCAGAACAATAAAACCTCCACGACCGGCATCATCATTGGGATCCACATCGGTGTCACCTGCATCATATTCTGCATCCTCTTCCTCATGTTTGGGTACCGAGGAAGGTAGGGATGCTCATGTCACTGCTCACAAGGGGTGATGGTCCCTAATGCCATGTGGGTGTCGCACCCCCAGTGCAATGCTGGACTTTATAGGATGGATTGAAGGATGAAGGAACGTAGCACAGGGATAAGACAGACTCAGGCTTGGGGGAGGGAATGGGGGAGGAACCATCTTTCTCACCCTCAGGCTCCATCTCTTTATTTTTCAGGCTGCTGATGTGCAAAAACGTGCAGGAACAGCTCTCCACCCCACAGATCCCCAGGAGCCAGCGGAGCGCCGCAAGCCTTGTCCTGAACGGGGCCGCTCGCAGGGACAGGGATGACAGGGACTTGAATGGAAAGCAGCTGGATATGAACGAGCTGGAGAGGTTATTCCCAGCATCCCCATCCCAGGAGCAGCAGGATAAGGGGATGACGGTAAGTCCAGTGGAATGGGAGCTCACCTGGCTGCATGTCTGAGCACATCAGACATCACTGCACTGTCCCCTTCTCTCTCCTCAGTTGGCTCACAGCCCGCCGGCTCCCCTCGACGACACCCAGATGTCCACACTCCCTCTGGACGAGTTCAGCATCATTGAGGAGCAGCCAGACCCCCTCCCAAAACCCTCCCGTGGCAGCAGCCCCCCGGCTCCAGCTCCCGACCACGGTCCTGCCAATGAAGGATAAAACTGCCAAGACTCGAAGCCTCTTGTGGGAGTTACCAGAAACCAAACCCGCGGCTGGTGATGTCTTTACGAGTTGTCAATCTCAGGTCAATTGAAGATTTCTACAGTCTGATTGTTATTTTTTTGTTTTGCTTTATTTTTATATATATATATAAATATATATATATGTATACAGCCTTTTGGAAACTCTGTGAAGTTTTATCTTTCTGACCTCTCCTTTGAGCCTCTCGGTGTGTTTCTTCCGATGGCGGCTTCGCGGAGACTGGTCATGATGAATTTTCCCCTCAGCTGCTAAGTAACAGACTCCTTGGCAGAGTTTGACAAACTCTCCCGTCTCTGACAGACTGGGAATATGGTGGAGCATCTCCTGGCATCCCAGACTTTTTCCTGATCAGCAGCTTTAGGACTACTTTTTGGATCTATTTTTTATTTCCAGAAGACTGGATTTGGAGAAATCCTTCTAACTTGACTCCAAAAATCGAGGCCCAGGAAGGCTGTCTCTCCGTGGATTTGATGACTTTGTACACTTTTGCTATTTCTCAGGATACTTTTTTTGCTGATTGACTCTAACTAATATGAAAAAAGCAGAAAAATAAAAAAAAAAAAGAGTGTGTGTGTCAAAGGATGCCTGAGGGCTACTGAAAGACTTGGACAGACAACCCGAGTGAACTCAGAACCTACCTCAACCGGAATGAATGTCTTCTGGGAAGCAGAAATGCCTGCGTCTTCCTTCGTGTTCAAAAAGCAAGTAGCATAGCACTTGGTCAGTACAAGCATGGTCCTACCTCAGCAGTCACGCTCTGTACCTGCCGCCCCGGCGGCTTCGTCGTCGTTCCCGTGTAAAGCACTTCCAAACCTTTGAAAGCAATGTTCTACCTCAAGCATGAGAGAAGCTCGTGTGTGAGAGTGACTGTGTGTGGGAGTGTGTGTGTGTGTGTCTGTGTGTGTGTGTCCTCTCCTCTCCCCCAGTTCCTGCCTCTCCCACCCTGCCCCTCACGAAGCGCGATGCTTCACTAGTGTTATGAGCTTTACTTTTAGGGGCTCCGGTGTGATTTTGGAGATTCCTGTCGTGGTTTTTTTACTTTAAAGATTGTTGGGGCTGTCACAGACAAGCAGTGTGGTGCTCTCTGGTTTTCCCTGGCACTGCTGCCCTCCCAGGGCTGATTTGGGTGCTGGTGGTGGCTGCCTCAGTCCATCTTGGGTGTATAGAGATGGGGTGCTCAGCTGCCAGCACTGGAGCCAGGGCACTTTCCTGCCTTGTCACTGTGCTGATTCCCAGCAGGATGATTTATGGCACGTGCCAGCATAAGCACCATAACACACCCCTGGGGGGGTGGCAACCTGGATGTCAACGTCTAGTCCCAAAGCCCACCCTGCCACAGGAGCGCCCACGGGCAAACAAACCCTGAGACAGTACTTCCAGAACCACCTGAGAGGCTACTGAGCTACTCCCAGCTCTTCCAGCCCATTTCCAGCCACAGGAGAACATCCAAAGGATGAGTGGAGCCAAAAAGGGCTCAGTTCCCTGGGAAGGACAAGGCGAGGAGGATGCTGGGGGCTGCTGGCAGCTGCCCCTTCCCAATGCCCAGGGTGGGCAGAGGAGCTCCTGACACCAAAGAGAGGGTTTGTCCCCTCCAGGGATCAACCACCAAACTGCCACTGTGGGGTTTGGGTTGTCCGGGCGTGGTGCAGCCTTGTGAGTTGGTGTGTGACCAGCATCATCCGTGGGGTGAGATGGGGGCAGGGATGGTGCCTGTTCCCTGCCACGTGGGTCGGTTCAATCCGGGCGAATGTGAAGGTTTGAACTCTCTGTGTAAGTGGTGGTAAATCAAATGTTGCTGTATCTGCAAGGACAGTGAAAGGAATCAGGAAAGGAAATGAATTTTAAGTTTAAAAAAAAGTATTAATTGTATTTTTTTAAATGGTACCAGTGGGAGAGTCCCTTGTGTGAGAAACATCCCCCATCACTTGCCCAACTGGCAGTGGGATGCTGCCCATGACCGTGCAAATAATACCACACACAGGAGGATGAGCAAACGCCTCTTCCCTATGCTGAGCTGGGTTAGCTGGGAGCAGGACTCTGCCCTTCCACATCATCCACCTTGGCCCTAGCAGATTGAATGGCACCAACCTCGAGAGCAAGGAGCTCTTGAGGCTTGGTGTTCCTAGCCCCCTCCCATTATAATTCCTCTTCCTGTTGACATCAGGCAGGACAAAAAAGATGTGAAGGGATAAACTTTGGTGTTTAGCCCCCAGACAGCCTCTCCCCACCCCACCAAAGAGGCTAGATGGGCCATCAGACCGACCCCTGCTCCCAAGGACATGGGGGGATGTTCCCTTTTGTGACGCTGGACCTGGAGACAGCCTGGGAAGGGACTGTGGGGGGACAGTGCCATGTGAGTCTGATAGCCCGTCACAGGAGCTGGAGGATGGAAAGGGCAGGAGGGAGGAGGAGACACCAAACAGTTCAAGTTATAACCTCATATCAAAGACAACCCGATCCTCTCCTGCCATCCCACTCCCACCCCAGCCCAGCTTTTCTTGTTATTGTTTTTTTTGGTGTGTGTAACGTCACCGTTCACATTGAATAAGTACCGTTGCCAAAGTGAACACAAAACCTAGAGTAGCGTTCAGCTCAGACTTCCTGAAGCTGTGAACATGCTATTAATTTAATATCATATTATTGTGATATTGTAATAGTAACAAGTATTTGTCACTACTTCCTTTTATTAAAGGGAAATGCTGTGCCATTTGACTAGTTGGAATACGATAGTATGTCAAGAGTAGAGCTTTTTCTTTTGGTTTTGTTTTTTTTTTTTTAATTATGCAGAAATGTGGTGGCTTAAATCAATGCAGATTCTGTGTTGGTTTGAGACAGTTGAAGATGGATGTAAATCTTTAAAGACTATTTTTTAGAAGTCTAGCTTTTCCTCTTTTTTGGGGTTTCTTTTCCACTCTTTTCAATCCGTACCGTTGGGACGTAATGTAGATGGTTGCGGCAACTCAGCCCACTGGGGCTGGTCTGGTGATCCATCAGGAGGGCATGGTCTTCCCTGACTTATCCAAGTGCACAAAACTGGGCAAAAAGACCACTCAAAATGGCACGTTCTGGCTTTGTGCCTCTCAGCTGGAGAAGTGATACATATCAGCCCCTCTTGCTGTACATCAGTGCCTGAGCCGGGCTGGACACAAAGCTGTGACAACCAAAAACTTGGGAAAGTGTCACTTAGAGTATGTCTGGCCTTGAATCTGTGAAATGAGAAGGAAAAAAAGAACAAAAAAGAGCCTGTGTTTGGTTTCAGCCTGGGGGACAGCCTGTCCTTGGTTCATCCAAACTGCTGCCCAGAGATAAAACCGGTGGGTAATGGGCAGGTGTTGGATCCAGTGCAAACTGCTGGCAACCACCCACGTTTGGGGTAGGAATCTCATCCTTTATTATTTTTCCAAGCAAATAGTTCCACTAATTCAACCCTCTCAGCTGATCCCAAAAACCCTCTTATTTTCTGGCTGTGGTGAGATGAAATTATGGGAAGGAATAAATATCCAAAAGCTGATTTATTTTTTTTTATTTTTGGTAACCCATAATGGGCACAACCTATTCTTGGAGCTCTCAAGTTGACCAGAGATGGCTGCTACCTCAGGGATAGTATCCACATTGTCTTTAGTTGAACAGGGAATAGTTTTATGCTGTGACAGGGTATTTTCACACTGTTGGATTCAGGTATTTATTTGTCTACCGTTATCTTTCTTCTTTCTTGTTTTGTAAAGGTGCTGATATATTTAAGTGCTGGTCCAGTTTGGGAGTTTTAAATCTTCCACCCCAGATTATAACAAGGGACTGTAGATTTTAAGTTGGCAATAAAAGAGAAGAGAAGCTACAAAGCACTGTTGCTTCTGGATGGTGAAGGGAAGCTGAGTGACAGCACTTAAGTCTGAGAAGATCAGTTTAAAAAAAAGGAAATTAAAAGCTTACGAAAACAAATGGGAGGGAGCTACTTACTCGCTTCATCTGTGCAAACAGTGTGTGGAAATCTATCCCTCCCCGTGCGCACTGGAGCAGGCAAGTTACAGATCCCATCTAGCAACTTGACGCCGGCTCATTTATTTCCCTCCCCACCAAATTAAAAAAAGGGAAAGAAAAGTTGATGGCCAGTTCCCAGTTGGTGTCCAGTCACTAGCAGTGTCCCCCAGGGATCAGTGTCAGGCCCAGTCCTGTTTAATATCCTTTACTGATGATCTGGATGAGGGGATTGAGTCCACCATTAGCAAATTTGCAGATGACACCAAGGGGGGGGGGAGTGTCGATCTGCTGGAAGGCAGGAGGGCTCTGCAGAGGGACCTGGACAGGCTGGATCCATGGGCTGATTCCAACAGGATGAGGTTCAACCAGGCCAAGTGCTGGGTCCTGCCCTTGGGCCACAACAACCCCCTGCAGCTCCAGGCTGGGACAGAGGGGCTGGAGAGCAGCCAGGCAGGAAGGGACCTGGGGGTACTGACTGATGGCAGCTGGACATGAGCCAGCAGTGTGCTCAGGTGGCCAAGAAGGCCAATGGATCCTGGCCTGGATCAGGAACAGTGTGGCAGCAGGACCAGGGAGGTGATTCTGCCCCTGGACTCAGTGCTGGTGAGGCCCCCCCTGGAGTGCTGTGCCCAGTTCTGGGCCCTCAGTTCAGGAAGGACATGGAGGGGCTGGAGCAGGTCAAGAGAAGGGCAACAGAGCTGGTGAAGGGACTGGAGCACAAGTGCTGTGAGGAGAGGCTGAGGGAGCTGGGGGGGCTCAGCCTGGAGAGGAGGAGGCTCAGGGGAGACCTCATCACTCTACAACTCCCTGACAGGAGGGGGGAGCCAGGTAGGGATTGGTCTCTTCTCCCAGGCAACCAGCAGTAGGACAAGAGGACACAGCCTTGAGATGTGCCAGGGGAGGTTTAGGTTGGACATCAGGAAGAATTTCTTCACAGAAAGGGTGATTGGGCATTGGAATGGGCTGCCCAGGGAGGGGGTGGTGTCACCATCCCTGGAGGTGTTTAAGCAGAGACTGGATGAGGCATCAGTGCCATGGTCTGGATGACAAGGTGGTGTTGGGTCAGAGGTTGGACTTGATGATCTCAGAGCTCTTTTCTGACCCAACTGGTTCTGTGATTCTATGAAAGGGAAGGTGCCTGGGCTGGAGATGGGGATGAGAGAAGAACCAGCACCCCCAGCCAAAAGCGCTGCTGGCACAGGGCCATGGCACTGAAGCCTGCTGGGAATCAGGGAAACAGCTCCAGGTTTATTCCATGGGCAGAGCCTGGGCTTTGGCATCATGTGGGAAG